TCACATAAGGCTAAAAAGTTGTACTAGAAAATGGAAGCGGCTGGCGAAAGTGACGTACTGTCCCGTTTTCTGTTGTGGGTCCTCTGGCAGGTTAGACCACACTTTAAATTGACCGTTTTCTAGACGTTGGGAAAACCTTAGAAGGACGGGCTGCATCCTCATACACGAAAGACACAAATACAATGCGGATCTTCGTGTCATCCTTCACAGATAGCACAATTAACATGACAATTGATTTACAACAATTTCAAAGCTACAATCATAGATAAAACCTCCCATTGAGCAACAAAAAAATCGTATGTTTTCAACAGTGATAAATTCCAGATACTTAAGTATAGAAAAATTACGAATTTAAACGGAATTCATCATACAGTGTACAATCAGATCTTCTCATATCTTGTGTAAAGGATTTGGGAAGAATATCAGACGTATGCTGGTTACGTAGAGCCTAATATGTGGGCTGGTTACATAGAGCCTCTCCCTCAGGCAACTACACCGTACTCTACTCCCAGGGGAACTAGGCTCTATGCTAATTTACTGTAAGATTCTGAATCCTGGCAGCAGCTCGATGCTCTATTGAAAACCAGGCAAAATATGTATACAGTAGAATTACCAGACCTGAAGATCGGTTACCAATATTAATTGGCGTGGGAAGATAATTTTTTTGGGGGGTGAGGCCCCCCAGGGTCCAACCTGTGGCAAGCCGTCTTGTTGATAGGTAAAGTGTAAGTCAGAACAATATGCTAAGGCCAAAAAACTGTCCTACAAGATAATGGGGGCGGCTCGCGAAATTGATATAATGTCCCGTTTTCTGTTTGTGGGGTCTTCTGGTAGGCTAGGATAAGGCACTTTTATTTAGACAATTTCTTGACATTGGAAACGTTTAAGTTAACGAAACGTTAAACTGAACGCTGGAACAAATCCGTTCAATATTTGTTACTTAGGTACAGAGTATCATTTGGGCCTCACTCGAGTATGAACATTTTGAACAACTTTAAGGCTTCTAATGGTTCCTGTTGCTTGGCTGCCTGCGGCTTCGAGTTAACAAAAACGTATTATATATATTTTTTTCACCAGAGTGACTGGCCATGCTGGCGCAAAAAAATGCCCCAAACATTTTTCAGGTACACCGAAACTGCATCGCATTCCTCTATAGCGTTCACACGTAAAGGAATTCCCTTAAAAAAATGCGTAAGCGTGATGGCATTACTAAGACTCCATCGTGGTGTATTGAATGACCGGCTTCTCCACACTGTTGTGTAGAGTTCCCAGTCACTGTTGTGTAGAGTTCCCAGTCACTGTTGTGTAGAGTTCCCAGTCACTGTTTAGTGACCGGGGTCGGCTGGGAGGCTTTGTTGTGTTGTGCAGTTGTGTCGAAACAACTTTTTTTTTCACTGATTTAGCGATAATTATCGTGGTTGTGTAGCTTACTATAGAGTTTATTGTTGGATTACGACCGTGAGAAATTGTTCGAGAGAGAGAGAGAGAAACTTAACGTCATAGTGGATATAATGTATACTGCTCGGGCCTGGGGAGTAGTACTACTGTTAGAACCCATTACTCTGGGTATACTCCTGGTATACTTCGGGTCTCAGTCAAAATTTGAATGTTTGGTAACCTAAGCTGCACGAGATGTCACTTTTTTTCCTTGCCGTTACCTGTATATTTTGGGGTGAGAGGGGGTAAAGGTGGTGGAGAGGAACAGGAGAAGGTATAAAATGTGGACATGTTAAATTGTTTTTGTCCAGCCAAAGCTATTTGTCCAACTAGACATTTCCAATAGTGAGTGTTAGGACAGCAGGCGGGCTGTCCGCCATGCTGACACGTTTGTGAGGTAGCTTGGAATTCTCTTCATAGGAAAGCAAGTGTTTGCAAGGTTCTTCACATGTACTACACAATATATGGATGTCCATAGATGAATGCTTGTGTTCGTATACGCTCAGATGCTCGTGTGCTTGTTCGTTGCGTTTGCAGGGTAGTAATTATCTAAGTGTAGTTACAGGATGAGAGCTACGCTCGTGGTGTCCCGTCTTCCCAGCACTCTGTCATATAACGCTTTGAAACTACTGACGGTCTTGGCCTCCACCACCTTCTCCCCTAACTTGTTCCAACCGTCTACCACTGTTTGCGAATGTGAATTTTCTTATATTTCTTCGGCTTCTGTGTTTATCTAGTTTAAATCTATGACCTCTTGTCATAGATTCTTTATACCGTGTGAGTTTGTCGTCTGTATATCATATTGGAATTGTATATTTAGAGAGCTTGGTTCCCTTGAGTAGATCAAAGTTCACGGGCTGCTAGCGGGCAGTGAGGCGTCTGTAGCCTGACACTGGCTGAGGCTACAGCACACACTGTAGCCTCAACCATGCCAGATTTGGATCTGGCAGGGTTGCCAGTTCCAAATTGCTGAAAGTAGCGAGCTGACGGTCTAAAAGTAGCGAATTTGCAATAAGAGTAGCCCAATTTTTTGTTTGGTGACTGATACGGGTTTCAAAGTAATATATTTTAATACATAGAGTACACTACAGGATTTTAATGGTTATATTACCTCCATGTCTTCACAGTTGAAGATTATCTAGATCTTCGTCTGCATTCACAACCTCGTTCTTGTATATGGCAGATTGTTATTTAAGTTTTGACATGCGTGGTTAAAATGACGAGAAAAGAGTTTCGTTTTCTTAAAAAAAAAATGATTCTCAAGATTGATGTCAAAACCTAAAATCCCATTCGATTTCTCAGTTTAGTTTTCACAGATGTTACCCTGTAAAATACCTGTTCAACCAGGGCATTACTGTATATTTTAAATGCAAACTCAGCGAGGTCAATCAGTATGGGATCGCCAGCAGCGTTCTTGACATGTAACTTCACATGAGGTACTTTGAGCTCTGTAATTACTTCATACACTCAGGAATATTGGAAGATATTCGTGTGCTGTATCCAGATTTTGCTAGTGGGGGGGGGGGGCTTAAATTTTATGTTCTCGCCTGATTTTTAGTCAAAGTTGATTTATTTTTGTATTAAGGCTGGTATTTTCTCCTCTGGTTCCATGGATGACTAACCATCCTGTGAGAGGGGAATATTAGACGAGCTTATAGCTAATTTTTTTTTTATCTACACTGTGTAATCTTTTATATATAATAGATCTTTTATATAGAATTTGTCCCTCAGAAATGTTGGACCAGTCACTTAATAACAGTAAGCGCCACTAACTTTCAATTTCACTGAGCTTAGACTGGTCAGCTGGTACTAAAGTAAGTTCTGAAAATGGTGGCCGTGTGTGGCTAAGGCATATGCTAGGTGACCGATTTTTCACCTTGTTGAAAGTTTCAGCATTACTAGGAATACGAGAAAGCTGTTTGCAAGCTGTTCACTAAAAAATTATGGCATCTTTCTTGAATGTTTTGAAACTTTTCCTGAGTTATAAAATTGTTTTGTCCGTTAATGGTCAGAAGTGTTGAAAAGTCATAACAAAATTCCACTGTTTCCCTTGGAGTCCAAATTAACATGAAGCTTTGCATGATGATGAACGAATCTTCTGAACATTCCAAGAGTGAAGTATTCTAAGTTAGTGTGAAGGCTACACTGATCTGCTTAATATGTTCAAGTTGATTTATCCTTTAAAAATCATTTAGGATTGGTTTGAGATGTGATGAAGCTGCCAGGTTCACTGCTAATCCACTCAAATGACATTCATTTGATTCTTGGAAAAACCTAGAGAGAAACTTAATAGTTACAGTAGGTAACAGTGTGATGTCACTTAACATAAACAGTACTCGGGATGAAGTATTAGTGGCAATTAAGGTTAGGAAATCTATGGCCCCTGGGGATGGGTTGCCTTGCGGTTACTTTTTCTCTCGAAGGTTCCTAGAATCAACGTCCCCAAGGGGCCGGTCCCTAACCAGGCCTCATGCGGTAAGTGGTCTAGTCAATCAGGCTGTTGGGCGCGGCTGTGATTTGTACACATTACATTATAAAAGCATTAATAATCATAGAGTTCTTAACATTAGTAGCTCAAATTAGCCCAAAAAGTAGCGAAATTAAAAATGTGGGTGCGGGGCTCTCAAAAGTAGCACAATTCGCTACTTGTAGGAGGTCTTCACCGTGGCTGAGGGAGGGGCCTGTTCACCTCGCCTCCCCCCCCCCCCCCCCCCCCCTCCCTTCCCAATAAATAGAAACCTCCCTGATCTATAACCACAGTAGTGAGTCGATAGTTTCAGTAGTTGCATAGAAGGCGTGTCTACTGTCCCCAGCGGATAATAAGTTGTGAACCTAATCTATGGGAGGTATTGCTCTCTGTCTCCATCTTACGATCTCGCACCTTCATCTTTTTGTCCTCCCAGCCACCTCCATACCCCTCTTTCTTTCATTATTTTCTGTAAATTTTAGAATTTGTTCAGTTAAATTTATTCTGATCTGACTTCAGTATATTCCCTGCTAAAGGTGGCCATCACGGGAAACCTCGTGGTTAGTCTGTAATCAACGTCACTATGTACTGCTAATAGTTCACCACTATTTCACTAGTCAGTCCTATTTGCTCATTGTTAGTTGCATGTCTACTTGCTCCCCCAAGGACTGCGATGATTATTACAAGTTCTACTGAGCAAAGTGAGGGTGGCTTTTGAAACTAGGGAAATTGTACATGCTATACATAATTTTAGATAAACAACTTAAAAGAGTGTACTGTACGTGTCTTTCCAATACTATACTTAGATAATGAATAATATCAGACACTTCACAAATTCAAAGTCCGCTCTCGTGACAATTGCAATTAGTTCACTTGTGCCTTCTTATCCCTGTTGCCGCATGGAAACTTTCTTCCTCACGTGTATGCTTCAAGTACAGTACTAGTAGTAGTTTGTAGATGAAGATTACGCGAAGCCTTGAAAAGGCCTTCACTTCTTTAGAGGACATCACACTCTTTGTTTAGGACATATTTTAGTTTAAGCCACATATATTATAAGTTATTGAACTTGAAATGGTAATTAATGTTTGTGTAACAGGGTCCCTGACACGCGACCTGCGGCAGTACCTGAACACCAGGTTCCAGAAGGGCAGTGTGGACCATGAGCTCCAGAACACCATCCGCGACAATGTCTACCTTCGCACGGTCCCTGTGACCACCAGGACGCCACGCCAGGGGGAGGTCAACGGCGTAGACTACACCTTTCTCTCCAAGGAAGAATTCAGTGCTCTGCAGAGGTCTGGCAACCTCTTAGAATCTGGTGTCTTTGAAGGTGAGTTTATGTTGGGGTGATGTATGTGGTCTCTCTCTCTCTCTTGCACTAGCACGTGGCTCTTCACCCACCATTTTGCTTGCATGCCATGCATGATCCCCTCAAGTTGCATGCCATGCATGATCCCCTCAAGTTGCATGCCATGCATGATCCCCCCTTTAACTTGCATGCCATGCATGATCCCCTCAACTTGCACACTGTCTCTTGCATTTTTGCTTAATCTAATACTTATTCTGCTGTTGACTAACTACTGTATTTTTCAAATTTTGTATATAATTGTATATCACGTAATAATGTACTAGTGTTTCAAATATAGTTCTGCACTGCACTTAAAATCAAAATGTTTAACAGTAGCTGCATAACTTACTATAATCTTCTATTTATATTCTCTTTGGAAATAATTTTCTTTACACATTCCTGATTCGTGTTAGAAATTTAGCAAATGTAAAATTAGCAGACAATGCTTAGTGATTTTCACAAGATTATTTTACGTAAATTTTGGAGTTTATCTGGAAAGCACCTTCATGTATTGGCATGTGCAGGGAAACATATGATTACTGGGTCAGGCAGTCACCCCTTGGGAGCGCAAAGCTTAGAACCAATTACACATCGTCCAGGGAGGGGTGTAGCAGAACTTTAGGAAAATGTATCTTGAAATTGATTCAGTATAGCTACACCAAACTTCTGCACATATGCCAATTCAATTTCTTTTTTTATTATGCACCCCATACCCATCCCGGTGTGGTGGTGTAAAGGCACATAATTGGTTCAGGAACTGAACCCTCTAGTTCGTTTAGCTAAGCAAATAAAATTTTTTTGATGCTAGTTACAAAATTATTAATGTTATATATACATGTACACACTCTCATACATACATGTACATATGCCCTAATGATAAACGTTTGCTCCTAGTAGTCTGTGTTGCAAATGGTGCATGCGTTTGTTTTACAATGGCATTTTATTTTTGCTTTTTTACCATGAACAGTGAAGATATGTTATTGAAGCATTGAACATGTCTTGGCTCCATTCCATATACAGTAATATACACACGACTTTAAAAATGGGGAAAATGAGGGATTTATAAAAAAAAAGTGCATTGATTAGAATGTCAATATTAGGTAGATTTTATGGCTTTGGTTTCAATCGTTATTGTGCTTTATAGGTAGAGAGGGCTAGGTAGAGAAATAGAAATGATTGAACTAAAGATACAAGAATCATGCAAAATCAATGAGAGAGAAAGAACAAAGGGCCATCGGTCAAAGAGAAATCCAAAATATTTTTTCTTCTATGCAAAATCAAGAGCAAAAACTACATCTAGTATTGGGCCCCTACAAAAGGGAAATGAAACCTTCACAGATGACAAGAATGAAATAAGCGAAATATTAAGGAATCGGTACCACTGTACTGTGTTTTCAGTGAGCCACTAAACAGTACAGTCACGGTTGGTCGAGTGGTTAAAGAACCAGGTATGCCATGTGTATAGTACTCCTTGCTGTCTGGGTTCGTATCTTTCTGGGAGTGTGGAGTTTATAAATTATTAAGAGCCTCGCAGCTGAGTGGATAGCGCTCAGAGGTCGTAGACCAAATGGCCTGGGTTTGATTCCAAGCAGAGGCAGAAACAAATAAGCAAAGTTTCTTTTAAGACGGGACACCACGAGCGTAGCTCTCGTCTTGTATGACATGGATGTAATACCATCATCAAATCATATATCAGATGTCACCCTATACCCACTGGATTTTGAAGAAGCCATAGACAATATGCCTATGCACTCTGCACCAGGCCCCAATTCTTGGCACTACATACATAAAGAACTGTAAAAAAAACTATCACAGGCCCTTAACATTCTTTGGAGACGGAACCTAGATACTGGTCTTATCCCTGACACTATAAACAGCAGAGATAGCACCACTCCATAAAGGAGGAACTAAGGCAGAGGCAAAAAATTACAGACCAATAGCACTAATATCACACATCATAGCAATCTTTGAAAGAGTGCCAAGAAGCAAGATCACAAAATACATGGAATCACAGCATTTCCATAACTCGGGACAATATGGTTTCAGAACAGGGTGCTCTTGCCTGTCACAGTTGCTGGACCACTATAACATGGCGTTAGATGCCATGGAAGATAAGCAAAACCCTAATGCAATTTATGCAGGTTTTGCAAAAGTCTTCGACAAGTTTGACCATGGTGTTATTGCACACACAGTGTTCAAAAGGAATTACCAGAAAAGTAGGCAGATAGATCTACAATTTCCTGACTAACAGAATCCAGTGTGTAAAAGTCAACAAAATAAAATCCAGACCATCAACCTTGAAGAGCTCAGTCCCCCAGGGTATTGTGCTTGCCCCAGTACTTTTTCTCATTCTCATGCCAGAGAACACATGAAGAGTAGTGCCGGACCAACCGGGTTGTGGTGGACATGTGAGCCTGCGGGCTGCTCCAAGCAACAGCCTAGTGGACCAAGCTCTCTCAAGTCAAGCCTGGCCTCGGGCCGAGCTTGGGGAGTAGAAAAACTCCCAGAACCCCATCAAGCAGGTTTCATATCGGACATAGACAAGGACACAATCTATAGTACTGTATCATCCTTTGTAGATAACACAAGGATTTTTATGAGAGCAGATAACAGAGGACACAGCAGACCTCCAATCAGATGTAAATCAGGTCTTTCAATGTGCTTCAGAAAATATAGTATTTAATGAATATAAATTCCAGCTCCTGCACTATGGAAAAAATGAAAATATGAAAACAGAAAGCACTTACAAAGCTCGGTCAAATCATATAGAACAAAAAGGCAATGTAAAGGATTTGGATGTACTCGTGTCAGAAGACCTTACCTTTAAAGAACACAATCATGTAGCCGTCACAACTGCATGAAAAATGACAGGTTGGATAACAAGAACCTTTCAAACAAGAGATGCTATACCACTGATGATAATTGTCAAGATGCTAGTGCTCTTTAGAGTGGAATACTGATGCACAATGACAGCACCTTTCAAAGCTGGAGAAATTGCTGACCTGGAGAGCGTGCATAAATCATTTACTGCTAGAATCCACTCGGTAAAACATCTAAACTGTTGGGACCGACTAAAATGACTAAATCTGTATTCTCTTGAGTGCAGGCGGGAGAGATAAAAATAGTTTACACATGGAAAATATTAGAAGGGCTGATCCCAAATCTGCACACAGAAATAACTCGAACAAGACTAGAAGGCATGGCAGGATGTGCAGAATTTCCCCGTTGAAAAGCAGAGGTGCAATAGGTACTCTGAGAGAGACTGTTCAACATGCTTCAATTACTCATAAGGGGCATAACTGGCCGATCCCTCACTGAGTTCAAGAGAGCACTTAATAAACGCCTCCAAAAGATACCTGATCAACCAGGCTGTGATTCACTTGTCAGGCTGCGAGCAGCCGCATCCAACAGCCTAGTTGACCAGTCCAGCAACCAGGCCGCCTGGTGGGGACCGGGACGTTTGGCCCCAAAATCATCGCAAGGTAACTGCGATGCAAGACAGGTTGACAAACATTCCATTGGTATTGGTTGCAGCATGTTGCAAAAACATAATCAGTTGGACAAGTTAGGCCATTCAGTGCCTTGCTGTAAAATGACCTTAAAATATGACGATTTCAAATGTCTTTGAATTTTGTTTACATTTCTCAGTTTGACTTTGCAATTTAATAACTTCAGTCACACTTGTCATTACAGTAATTTAATAACATTCGTGTATTATAGTGTGATGAATAGCACTAAACCCCATGCTGCATTGTTGAAAAAAAGTTAATGTACATGTAAATGTGAGAAACGTTACAAGAGATTAGACATAAGATAACATGGGTTAGTGATAAAATGATAAGGTTAGCAATCAGTATGTATTGTGATGGAGACCCCACAAAGACCATCCTATAAAGACCTGTTGCACAGATACAATCTCGACCATGCCTTGCAGAAGGATGCACAATGTAAAGGTAGGGTACCGCGATGTGATAAATATAATAAGTTAGGAGATATAATGTGTAGCTAATTGTTTGAGAAAAAACAAACTTGTACTAATCTTATTGATAGCGTTTAATAATCACGTCAAGTATGCATGGGGTGTATGGTGTATCCTTTTCTTGCATGTGTATAAAGTTCAGGTAGGTATAGCAAAAAGCCTTTTAGATAGAGGGTATAGTACTATGATTACAGGTCATGAATATGGAGCGCCTGTGCCGTCGCCCATTTCGTCGGCTTTGCCGCAGAGACTGACTGTGGAACGTATTACAAGGCAACGGCTACAACATCAAATACCATCTACTGTCTCAAATGCCTCCAGCATGGCATCTGAAGTTCACATTAGCACTCGTGTCGAATCTCAACGTCTGCCTCCACTCCATAGTCCACGAATGGGTACCCAGCGTGAGTACCCATCTACGCCTAGTGGTGGTGATCCACTTAGTGAGCCACAAAGTGAACAAAGTTTAGGCCCTGCTGCCCTAATTGATACTACCAAAGATGGCAACCTTTCACGCTCTCTCTCTTTACCAGTGAAACGAAAACACTTTAGAAAGCATAGCTCTGACAAGATCAAGACTCTTCCCATTCGATTGTTGAAAGGTGTCCAGCGTCCCTCCCTTCTAGATTCTAACCAAAATTTAAGTGCAAATGAAATCAAGGAATATTTTATAAGACATGGAAGTCAGCGACACCGTCAAGCTGTGCATGAGGTACATGGACAAGCTTTTGTGTCTTCTGCAGAAGACACATCTGGAAAAGTGAACCGGCAAGCAGGTAGATCTGTTCAGAGATCATCTAGTCGTAGTAGAAATTCTCCTTTAAAAAACAAGAGTCTGATTTCTTTTGCTGTAGATGCTAAATATAAAGCTTCAAGCAGTGTTGTAGCACAAACCCTTCTGACACAACCTCGCATAAAACCACTTAAAAGAAATGTGTCTGATGTTGGAATATACGAGGAAGATTCAGAGGCAGACACACTTTTTGGCAGTAGTAGTGATGATGATGATAGTGGTACTCTTGTTGGCAGTGATAATCGAGACTCGCTTTCCAGTGAAGATTCAGGACATAGTGATTGTTCATCTGTTTTCTCTGATGAAACTGCTACTGAAGACACAAATATCATTCCAAGTGTGTATAGAGGCAATCCAGATGGCATATCTCAGAATAATCCTCTTTATAGACACACTTCATCTTCAGTAGAAGGTCTTTGTTTCTCTGGTAATGTAAATGCTGCTGTTGATAACTTGTCTTTATTTTCCAATGAAGAATCTGTAGATCCAGATACTCATATGATGTCCAACCAGTCTATTGAACATTCAAAGTACCATGCCTCAAATAATATAAGTTCACATACCATTGATCTGTCAGTATCGGTGAATGATCCATTGTCTCCTATGAATGGGGTCAGATACTGGATTGACCATTCAGATGTGTCTCGGAAAACTCAAATAAATAGGCACTCGTCATCAGTAGGAAACGTTACCCCTGTTGACAATAACGAGTTTGATATAATTGATAACCTCTCCTTGTTTTCAAATGAGGAATCGGTAGACCCAGTTACGGATGTAGCATCCCAACAGCCCGTAGATTGTACAATAGAATGTGAGCCAAGTAGTACAAGGCATCCAGTATCCTCAAATCTTTCATCTGAAGCACAATTTGGTAGATATCTTGTTACAAATAAAGTTGATGCAATCCAAGACTTGAAGGAGAGTAACACACACAGGACAACAGGGTCACACTCTTCGGCACCGACTCATAATGTCGACACAATAAAAGATTTGCATGCAAAGTGTAGAGTTGAACCTTGTGACGAATCTGCATTAAATCGGTCAAAGGATGCATCATCTAATAGGGTGCCCAAGGGTTTGCCAGTTGCCATGATGCAAAATAATAGCAATGTATCCTGTATATTCTCGTATGACGTGGCAGGCAATTCAGGCATTGAAAAATGCTCTGATGACATTAAAAGATGTGCTTCATCAGCTGCTAGTGGTGTACAAAAATCTAATTCTTCACATCAGATAGATATAAATCATCAGGATGCAAATTATTCTCTCACTTTTGACAAATTTTCAAAACCAACTTTAATACCAAAGAAAAAACCTGAGATTCCTCAGCGGAGTTCATCACTAAACAATGCATTAAAACAAAACAATCATAGCATGAAGTTCTGGGGAAGCAGAAAAGAAATACCTCCGGTGTTAGTTTTAAACAGTAACAACCAATTTCTGAAGAAAGGTGTCCGCAATAGTTTATTGGACGAAGGGGAAAACGCACACATTAACAAACGCGCTTCCTCAAATATCAGTGATGTGTGTTCACTTTCAACGAAGGAAAACATTTTGTCTGTTAAGGATTTAATTGATAAACATGAAGATGTGAAGAGAACTCAGACGACATTGGGTGCGATACTTGTGCCAGCTTTAAATGGAAAAACAAACCAAGAGGATGCATGTTTGGATGCTGTTCTGAACAACAAAACCAAAAAAATTGATAATTATGTGCCAAATAAACAAGATTCATCACGTGCTACAACTTCAAAAAGCAAAGAAGAAAACAGTGAAGATACAAGTGAAGTTGATGCATCATTAGTAACTATTCCCAAAGAGAGGCAGGAAAACCTTTGTGAAAATGATAAAGGAAATAATTATTGCAAAGATGTTGACAAACAGGATTATCAGAATAGCCTTTTTGCACATTCATTTAATCCACAAGAACACAATAAAGAGAATATATACCAGTTTTCACTGCTTGACTCACATTTAACTGATGATTTTAAAAGTTCAGAGAAAATTATAAACATCAGTTCTTCAGCTGACACTGACTTAAAGAGTGAATTTAATTCAATTAAAGATGTAAATGATATGATTGCATCTACAGTAACTTTGAATGGAACGCCCTCTAAATTTCTGTTAAATACGCCCTCTTTCTCTGAGAAAGATGCACGTAGTCGTCGTACATCGGAGAAGAGAGTTTCAGGAAATGCATTGAGAATATTAGGGCCTACTGATAGGAATATATTGGAAGGCACAATTTTAAATGCAGATTTCCAAGAACTTTCAGACACTCTATGCAATTCTAATGCTTCAACATACATGGATACAATTCATACGCACAAAACATTAAAGGAGGATGTGGAAAAAGAATGTACATCCAGTCGGAAAATGAATAGTCTTTATTTCATCGAGCCAACTGAAGGGAAAGTGAGTGAGTTTTACAACAAAGATGAAAGTATAAATGATGCATTATGTAAAACATTTGATAAATCTTCATTTAATAATATTAAAACTAGGCTAGAAAGACATGTAGAAGCATCCTGCAAAAATGAACAAAGCTTCAGTGAAATAGTTTTAGACAATACTAATGAAGAAATTCCAAAGAAAAAAAACACCGATACTTTTAGGCGGGGCAGACAGAAAGATCCTATAACTAATGTAGATAATTTCCATGAAAGTGCTTCAATTAATCATACTTTGGGAAATAATATTGGTGACCAAATAACATTCCTGCAAACTGAAAAAGGTTCACATAGATTATTGCCAACCACTGAAGAAAGTAAAGTATCAAATCCTTGTGTTGAAAGGAACATTAATGATAATGTAAAAGATAGCTGTAAGAACCCACAAAGCATTAGCAATGTTAAAGAGAGAGTCCCAGAGTTTTGCTCGAAAGAAACTGTAAATCATGGTTTGAATAATGGTCACTCATTAAGTGTGAAAAGTTTGGTTAATGTGCACGAGAACCACATTCATAGTTATATAGAATCGCTCACATCGTATAAGTCTCGTTCTTTAACAAAAACGGCTTCTCTTCCATTACAACACAAACACGAAGGCTCATTAAAAGCACAGTTGTCAGACAGTACATTACTAGGTGCAAGACAGAGACCAGAAGGTTCAGAGAAGACTTCATATTGTAATTCCATAATAGAAGAAAAGCATAAAACCAGTCAATCCTTTCTGGGTCTTAATGCTAGCATTGTTAATGGTAAAGGCAATGCCTCCGAAATGGAAATAAGGCCAACTGAATCATCCAGATTGTGCCAAAGTGGCATCAATGTTTCATACAATGAAGTGGCAATTTATCCCCTTTTATCTCAAGTTAATTCCAAAGACAGCAGCCCAAGTTCAAACAATAGGTTAACTGATGCTTCAGAGGGACTAGAAACTGAAGATCTGGGGGAAGGGAAAGAGTTGGACCAACGACCACGGCCACCTCCAGAGAGAACGTTATTCATCAGCAGAAACTCTCCAACACGGTTTAGTTTGATTAAAAATCCTCGAGATAAAGAAGAGCGTGCTTATTCTAGGTGCATGCCAGTCAAGGCTCCTCGCAGATCTAAAATGAAAGAGCGGCATGAATTTAATAAGGAACCTAATATGAATTATAATGGACGTCAGCGTACCCCAGTGATTGAGTTTAGTGATGGCACAGAAAATGAAAGAAGTTATATTGAAAGGTTCTTGAATTCAAAATATGACAATTATGCTAAAATTTGCAATGAGACTTATAACCACCAAACTTTACAAACTACTGAGCATTACAGTTCAAACTCTCTACCAAATGGCTTTGGGTCTTCACTACTATCTGGTAATGGGAATGGAACAGGTACTTGTTAATGCTTTTTAAGTTAATATATTGTAATAAGTTTAGTGCACATTATAGTTTGATTTTTAGCTAATGTCTTGCGCATGTTTTATCTTAACATGAATCTTGCTACTAAACAGTGCCTCCATACTTTCTGCATTTGCTTGATATCACAGTTTTTAGTGAAATAATTGTAATATTGGTCTATTCTATATAATTAATTCGAATACTGCTATGTATTATAACACATTTTATCGAAAATAAAATCATCTTGCTAATGTTTTTAATATACAGGTAACCACTACGGTACTCCTAAACCACCATCATTACCACCTGATCATTTGGCTCGGGGGTCAGCAGGCACTGCTGTCTTACCTGGTGCCCATCCCAGCTCAGAGGGCAAACGTAGACGTAACCGCTCCAATGTAGAAGCAATGGCTGCCAATACCACCAGTACAGATATTCCTCCCGAGCCTCCCAGTCATCCATATTCATCAGGGACACACTACGGCCCTCCTGGCATGCCCCAGAGTATGGTGGCAGAAGAGGGTGGGGTTCAGCTTCAGCCCCCAGATTCACCGACGGCTGGAGAGTTGGGTCCTCTACCATTTAACTGGGAGAAGGCTTACACAGAAAATGGAGAGCCATATTATATCGAGTGAGTATTAAATGCCTATCTGATGTATTTGTTACATTACAGAATATTACAATTGTTAAATTGTATTGGGAATATGCATTAATTTAACTTATTGATTAATTGAACTAGAGCACCATAATTGCCATTTACTGTAGTGTACAGTTAGTAATAATAATAATAGGGGGGATATGAAATATGCTTAGCGTGAGATGATTTCTGGGCTTAGCATCCCCGCGGACCGGTCCTCGACCAGGCCTCCTTTTTGTTACACACCCGCAGTAAGCAGCCCGTAGTAGCTGTCTAACTCCCAGGTACCTATTTACTGCTAGGTAACAGGGACATCATGGTGAATGAAACTCGGCCCATTTGTTTCCGCCTCCACTGGGAATCGAGCCCGGAACCTCAGGACTGTGAATCCGAAGCACTGTCCACTCAGCCGTCAGGCTTCTAATTTGATATTACTTATCCAATAAGCATATTGGATATAAGTTGTAATTTTTACTAATTAAATGTTTTTTATACTTCATTGAAACCAATTAAAAACATCTAAATATCTAACTACTCCAAAATGCCAGTCAAGACTCCTGCCAATATGAATGAATTCATGCCGCTCCTAAAATGAAAGTGCGGCATGAATTTAATAAGGAACATAATATGAATTATAATAGATGCCAGTGTACCCCAGTGGTTGAGTTTTGTGATGGTTTATTTTGTATTATTATTTTTAATACTGCTTATTTTACATCTTGCATCTCTTGAAGCACTTAATCCTTTATTTTACTCTGCAGTAGCCTCCTAAATTTAGGCTATTCATTTATTAGGTGAAGGTAAAACATCTTAACATTAAATCATTCTCCATTCAATTTAATTTACTCCTTGACACAATATCATCCCGAGTAGAACAGAACAGGGGTGGGCCTGGGCTGGGCCTGGGCTGGGCAAGGGCAAGTAGAACAACTCTCGGAACCAACAAGTATACTCCATAGATCAGGGTCACACCTTTTAGTGCTGGCTGGTCTTTTGGGGTTTTGGTAACACAATGAGGACTAAGCAACAAAAGTTTAAAAAGGTTGCGCCTGCAGCCCGTGTCCTCACCAGGAAACGGTTCTACCTAAACGTGACTGCATTTTAACTACTTATTAAATGAGCCTAATTGATGCTTACCTTGTGTTGATTTCGGGGCTCAATGTCCCACACAGGCTCCCACAGGCCCTGACCAGGCCTTCTTAAATAAAATAATGCTAAAATAATCTCTAGGACATATTGACTGTTAGGAAGTGCATCGTGTTAAATTAACATTTTAACGTCGACACCATCAATAACATTAGACTGTCTTTGATTCAATGTGGTGTCTACTGGGAAGATATTAAAGTGTTATAACCAATGTAAATAAGTGTTACTTATATACTGTATATTTTGGATCAAAATGTATATTTTGGACTTATATTACTTGTTTGCTACTATATTTTTGTGGTTATATTGAGCTCTTTAAGTGGAATTAAAAAAAAAAATTCCATTCTGCAAATGCACAATGTAACTGGTCCCGATTTTTTACCTTGTTGCAACTTGTTACGAAGTTCTTATTATTTAGGTTTTTATAAAGGAGCTTTAGTTGGTTGGTGCTGGAAGAAAAGTGTGTGTGTGTTAGTATAAAAGTCCGATTTTCATATGATAATTACAATTGTATTATGAGTATTTAATTGTAATTTAATCTGCATAGGACTATATGGTTCCTGTATTAATATATAGTTTTCCTTTATCAATGCTTTTTGAAAATGGTGCATATATCACCCAGTATTTTATGAAAGAGGAGGAAGTAGGTTTATTTGGAAGTAAAGGTATTATCTCTTGAGTGATTGTGACTTTGTATACAGTATTTATTTTTTTTCAGTCACATGAATGGCACATCCTCGTGGTTAGATCCAAGGCTAGCACGTGTTCAGAAACGAAATGCTGAAGAATGTGGAGAAGACGAGCTACCCTTTGGCTGGGAACGAATAGACGACCCACAATATGGAACATATTACATTGACCATGTAAATCGAAAGACACAGTATGAGAATCCTGTCATTGTGGCCAAAAAGCAACCTATTACCCCAACACAAGGTAAATTAAGCCAATATTTTCAGAGATTTCATCATTTCATTAACTTTTTATTATAGTACTTCTTATTGCAAGCAGCATCTCCATCAGCCAGGATTTGAGCAGTTCATTTCTAAATGTTAATATTTTGTTAATACTTGTTTAAACCTGCTTGTGCAGTATGCATACACTGTACTGTACAACAGTATTTTGTACTTTTTGTAGCTTGTCATTCATGTTACATATTTTTTTATCAGTTTGATGTCTTGCTTTCTTCCGAGACACACTGTTGCCACACATCATTCACTTTCATACTCTCTTCTTACTCACCATTTCATATATATTATTGATCTTCTACTCCCTGGCATGGCAATGATTGTCTTTTTCTACCAAGTGATAATCATATTTCTTCCTTGTTCCCACTAATTGTTGATTCTCGTGAATTCTTTTGACATTTATGTCACTTAAGCGAGTTGATTTCACCCACTCTAGCATTGCATATTTTATTCCCTTGCCACCCTCCATACTGAAGTTTTACTTGCATATGCCTGGGTGTGGATTTATATGGTGTCCCAATTCTCAGACTAATAGTTGTGCCTTTTATTATATTATTTATCTCTCCTTCCTCTCCTCTCTCATTACTTTCTCTTGTTTTACTTTCCATGCTCCCAATTTTATCTAACACTGTTCCCATGTGGAAATTATTAAATGGTGCTGGGAATAAGGAATGGAATGGGTATGGAAAATTTACCAGATAGCATGGAATAGTGGTTATGTGTAAGACGATTGGAAATAGAGCAGCGTATCATTTCATTTTCTAACAAATATAAGGGATCATAACTAGTGTAAGAATTATAGGAACTAGTTTACAAGGTGTAGTAGGCAAAAGTGCGTTGTGGGAGGATGATTAGGAGAATCCAAGAAAATTAAGAAATTAATTATAATGAGTAGTGATAGTGATAAAGAAAACTGCAGACCACAATCCTCTGTTAAATGAGGATATCATTGGAAGTTTTATCCGGCTGGCTTCAGAGGTTCATTAGTATGGACATGCATAAAACATTTATTCATAAGTTTTACCATAGTTACATAAAAAGATCTGAAAATTATTGAAAGACATTTAGTAGAGCAGTTAAGAAAATATTGTACTGTTCAAATAATCTTGACTACACAAATGTTTCACTTTACTGTTGTGACGAGGTAACGGTCTGTTAATTGCATTGTTCTTGAGAAAGGCATGAGCACAAAGCAAATGGTAACATTATCACACAGGACTGATTGTGAGGAGACCTAATCGTAATGTATTTTGAGCAGACAAGGAGTCGCAATAATGTGGCTGAAGTATGTTGACCAGACAACACACTAGAAGGTGAAGGGACGACGATGTTTCGGTCCATCCTGGACCATTCTCAAGTCGATTGTGTCGTCGAAACGTCGTTGTCCCTTCACCATCTAGTGTGTGGTCTGGTCAACATATTTTGAGCACTTTCATCCACTCGGCACAGACTGGATGAATCTATTGAAGTATCATAGGCCTAGCTTATATGCTTAAATATTGAGGTTTGAAATTTCAGCATTTTTTACCAGGGGTAGATAAAGGCAAGTAATTATCAAGTGAGCCACTAAGACAATATAACTATTCAGCTCTTGGAAGATGTATTGGGACACACTAGGAGCTGAGATAATTGGATGGAGTGAAGCAATGGTGCCCAATCACTTAGACAATCAGAGGTGGAATGCCATTTCTGCAAGAAGAGAGGCCATTGCTTTGCTGATCATTCTAAATTGATTGCAATAAAAATATTTACCCTTTTATGGCTATCATTTTTCTTGACAAAACTGCAACTCCTATTATCAGTATAAAAACAAAAATTCATCTCAAAGATTTCAGACACATAGATTTACAGTATTATATCTGTTTATGGATTACTGTTCTAATGTGGAGCCTAAAGTGAATACAGTAACTCTAAATTTGTAAGGTAGTAAGTAAAAATGTTTCTGTATGTATCCTTGTAACAAAGAAAAGGAGAATTTTGAGTGCACACCTTGACGCCAAGCATAATACCTTGTACATGGGTTTCTGTGTCCATTAATATTCTGGCAGTTTGAAGTAAAGTTTCTGGAAGTATGGTATTGTCAGTACAGTATATGTATAGTATAATTTGATATATGCAAGAATTGAAATTAATGTGAATATATTTTTCATGGTACAGGTGGAGGAAGCAGTCCAGCAGAAAGTGGAAACAACACTTTTCCCCGGCAAAAGAAGTCGACCTCGGAGGGCGGTAGTGGAGCAACCCCAAACACAAATGAAGGGTCACAACCTACCTCCGGTAGCGGACATAAGCGCGCAAACAGTGAGTGTAATGTGTAGTCTTCCCACACAGGTACCTAAACCACCTCCATATCTGCCAGGGTTCAATAAAGGCAGTGTGGCTAGAAATTGTTTATTTTCAGTATTTTGTTGTGGTGCACTTGAATGTTTTTATAAAGATGTATTATGAACACTTTGCCTTTTATGAACGTGGGCCGTCTCTTCTCGGTGATGCAGGCATGGCCCCTCTGAGCCGTACTCAATGTGTCTGGGGCCAAGTGTTAATGACGTAATATCTCCAAAAAGCTAAAGGGTGATCTTTTAATATTGTTTGGATTCTGTACTTTGTAGCATCCCTCTGCTAAGTTCTAGTAGGGATTCTAACTCTCTAATTTTCTGGCATAAGAGGGGACATGTTTTGCATGCAACTTGTAGATTGCATCTAATAATAATGTCTCTGTTGTAACAGTCCAGAGACAAATACTACTCTGCTGTATTTTATTTGTTTTTATTAATAGAAGCTGTGTATAGCTAATGAAAAAATTTGTTTTGTCATTGCTTGTAGGAAGAAATAGTTGAATGTTGGTTACTGTGCAAGCTCAAAAATATAGTAAATTTCCATAGTGATTGGTCTTTGGCAAATAGTTTGATTTGCTTGCCTTAGTTTATAAGTGAATTGTCTCTGGGTTGTTCTAGGGCTCATGCTGTACCTGCCCTGTTTACCGTGCTTGGCATCAGAAGGCAAAGACACTAAGCTGCAGGTACAAGCGCAGCAAGCGAATAAAAGGGTCCACAGCCGTATGGACAAGAATGCCCTCCCACGTCCTCGCTCTCTTTCTCCTAATCACAAACACCCTGATATATCACCTAAGCCTTCTGATCCTGTCAATAGACAAAGTATTACAATTTCAAATCCTATGAATCCTGTACATTTAGCTAGTGGTACTCCTTATAAGGCAAATATTCTTTTGCCAAGTTCTCAGGATTTAAAGTCAAACAATTTAGCTCTTAACTCTAAAATAACTTCTCCAAATAATCAAAATATTCCTGCCATTAAACAAAATAATGTTAGTATAAACCAACAACTTACACTTAGTCAGAGTTTTAAAAGTCAAGAGGTCAAAAATCCTACATTCAATCAAACTATAGTACCAAATTTTGCTAAACCTCACTTTCCAAACTGCCAAACCATCTCGCCAAAGTTTCTTCACCCTCGAATACCTCAAGCTTCGTCCTCTCCGAAGGGTCAGTCCATGTCAGTTGGGAGGTCTCCTAGTCCTAGGAGCAGTATTAATATTTCTAATTCATGGTGTTATAATCCAGGACAGTCTTACTCGCCAAACCACCTATGGAGTTACTCCTCTTCTCCAATACAGTCTGGTAATCCCCAGTTTCCCTCTCCTGGCCCATACCCACTCCCTCAGATTTTCTCTACCCCACTGCCCAGTAGTCAGGATTTGGCATATCCTACTATACATCACCAAAGATCATTCTCCAGCTATTATTCTTACACTGTTTGTACCCCATCTGCGTCACCCCTCTACCGTCCATCGGAGGACCCTGTAGTATCGGCAGTCAGCTTAAGACGGAAAGGTATTCTCCAGTTAGTGTTGGATGCTTATGCTTGTTCTAATGAATGCTCTGCTGGGCTGGCTAATGCTATGGTATATTTGGAAATGGAGAAAATATTAACATCTTTTATGCAAGTTGGAAGGTATTCCCTTGGAGCTTGTCCTGATTGTGTGTTTTCCAGTGGTACCTGATGTGTGGAATTTTCCTTGCTTACTAATAATAGTAACAGACTAATAAGATATGCGTCATTGAAAATAATCTTATAAATCACAGTTGGTTAATATGAAATGACTAACTAAGTAATCACTTCATGCATTTTTTTGGAATTTTTCATTAATTTATATTCCATGAAGAGCAACTGCAAAGTGGTCTAAATTATTATTATAAGAAGGCAAATTGTTTTTAATATTTATAAATCTGTGTATATAGATTTTAAGATTTGTATATCAAATTCTTTTTGTTAAAAGTATATATCCGTACAGTATACTGCACTATGGAATTTCTTAAATTTGTAAATGCAAAGTATAAAATTCTCCTAAACAGAATAATGTCATATTAGTAGTTAATGGAATACCTATACTATTTTCATTTTGCAGATCGCTCTGGGCAAAGTATATTATTTACTCGCAATCCAGCAGAGCTGCAGGGTGAATTCATACGCACCAGCCTTGTCAAGTCTTCCCGAGGTTTGGGTTTTACCATTGTTGGGGGCGATGATAACGAAGAGGAGTTTCTCCAGATCAAAAGTGTTGTTCCCAATGGTCCTGCGTGGCAGGATGGCAAGCTTCGAACTGGTAATGTTTACATATTCAATGTTTATTGAAGCTTCTTTGTACAATATATATATACAGCCCGAAACGCTTTGCGTAATAGTGGCTTTAGGCATTGTATGTACTAGCTATACCTATAAGTTAAACAATCCTTGTAAATATTTATTGTATGTATGTACCTTACCTAAATAAAATTGTATTGTATTGTATTGTACAGTATATATATACATATTGAAATTGTATAAAGCTTATTACACAGTACAAATATATATATGGTAGGCAATTTGTATTATTATATAATGCCCTTTATTCTTTGTTACAGGGGATGTGTTGGTTTATGTAGGTGATACATGTGTGTTGGGATACACCCATGCTGATGTGGTCAACATGTTCCAAAATATTGACCCTGGCAGAACAGTGTACCTGGAGGTTTGCCGAGGCTACCCTCTACCTTTCGATCCCAACGATCCCAACACAGAAATTGTGACAACGGTAGCTGTTACGTCAGCTGGTGAGCTATTTGAAGCCGCAGTTTTGAATTTCAATTTATAATACAGTACAGTAATTGCAGTTTGTGACATATTTAATAGTACTAAACACCTGCTACTCCAAATTTATTGATATCTTTTAGTACAAAAGTCAAATCATACTATAGAACAAAAAAGCAATGTAAAGGATTTAGGTGTAATCATGTTGTAAGGCCTTACTTTTAAAGATTGATAAAGATTATGCCACACAAGAGGTGGCATGGGCATGAATAGCCCGTAAGCTTACTTTTAAAGAATACAATGAAGTTATGTACCTGGATTATACCTGGATGGGGTTCTGGGAGTTCTACTCCTCAAGCCCAGCCCAGGTTTGACTTGATAGCTTGGTCCAACAGGATATTGCTTGGAGCGGCCCGCAAGCCCATATATCCACCACAGCTCAGTTGGTCTAGCACATCTTGAAGAAAACTATCCAGTTTTCACTTGAAAACGTCCACATTTGTTCTGGCAATACTACTTGTGCTCGCTGGGAGTATGTTGAACAACCGTGGACCTCTGATATTTATACAGTGTTCTCTGATTGTGCCTATGGCACCCCTGCTCCTAACTGGTTCTATTCTGCATTTCATTCCATATCGTTTACTCCATTATGTTATTTTACTGTGTAGATTTGATACCTGGCCCTCCAGTATTTTCCATGTGTATATTATTTGATGCCTCTCACATCTCCTTCCTAGGGAGTATATTTAGAGAGCTTTAAGATGATCCCAAGAATTTAGGTGCTTTATTGTCTATGCGTGCTGTACATGTTCTCTGAATTCTCTTTATTTCGGCATTCTCTCCTGCTCGGAAGGGAAAGTGAGTATTTAGCAGTACTCGAGACGGGACAACACAAGTGATTTGAATAGTACAACCATTTTGATGGGATCCCTGGATTTCAAAGTTCTCGTAATCCATCCGATCATTTTTCTGGCTGACGCAATATAAGCTTGGTTATGCCCCGTAAACGTTAAGTCATCAGACATCATTATTCTCAAATCTTTTACTTGCTTCTTTTCTACTATGGGCAGATTTGATTGTTTTGTACCCTGTATTATGTTTAAGGTCCTCCTTTTTACCGTACCAGAGTACTGTATCTGGAATTTATTGTTGTTAAACATAATGTTATTTTCTGCTGCTCAGTCAAACACTTTATTGAGGTCTGCTTGTAGTTTATCAATGTCTTGATCAGAAGAACTTTTCATGCTGATTTTTATCATCCAAAAAAGATATGAAGCTGTGACTTGTATTTTTGTCTATCAGATATGAGATTAAGGAAAAGCAGTGGTACAAGGACTATACCTTGAGGTACGGAGCTTTTAACTGCCCTTGAACTCTATTTTATTTAGATGACTGTTACTGTGTGTGTTCTGCTTGACATAAATTTGAATATCCACTGTCCTGGATATGGGAGCCAGTCGGCCGAGCGGACAGCACGCTGGACTTGTGATCCTGTGGTCCTGGGTTCGATCCCAGGTGCCGGCGAGAAACAATGGGCAAAGTTTCTTTCACTCTATGCCCCTGTTACCTAACAGTAAAATAGGTACATGGGTGTTAGTCAGCTGTCACGGGCTGCGTCCTGGGGGTGGAGGCCTGGTCGAGGACCGGGCCGCAGGGACACTAAAAAGCCCCGAAATCATATCAAGATATCCTCAAAAAGTCCTACACTACCTATTATTCCCATTGACCTCTTTTTGTGTGCTATCACTCCATGGTCACATTTATCATATGCATTTATGAAGTTTGTGTATACCACATCTGCATTCTGTTTTTCTTCTAATGCCTCAGTGATTTTGTCGCAGTGGTCAAGTAGCTGCGAGAGGCATGTTCTTCCCCACACTAAATTGATGTTGATCTGGGTTGTTGAGGTCATTGGTCTATGAAACTGGAGACCTGACTCCTGATCACTCTCTCAAATACTTTTATTTTGTTGGACATTAGTGCAACTGGTCTATAATTCTTTGCCAATGCTTCACTCTCTCCCTTGTGTAAAGGGGTTATGTCTGCCGATTTAAGCACAACTGATATCTCCCACGTGTCGAAGCTCTTCCTCCACACTATACTGAGTGCCTGTGCTACTGGCACTGCATTTCTTTATAAATATTGAATTCCATGAGGCTGGACCAGGGGATGAGTGAATGGGCATGTTGTCAATTTATCTGTCAAAAGAGGCAGTGTTCGTATCGGTTATATTTTCAGGGGTTTGGATATTACACATAAAGTTGTTGTCCAGATTTTCCACTTTCATGCTGTTTATTGGAGTGCTAAACATGTCCTCGTACTGTTTTTTAGGATTTCACCAATTTCATTGTCATCCTGTTTATGAACCTTCACTTGTAAGAATAAGTACAATACTGGCAGTGGTTTTTGCTTTTGATTTTGCACGTGTGAAGAAATAGTGTTTTTCTTTATTTCTTGTATGGCTTTCTGTTCTAATTGAATTTCTTCAATCTGATATGATTGCTTCAGTCTCTGCTCAATTTCTTCAATCTTTTTAATTTTTCCCTCTTTGTAGTAGTTATCTCTCATTAAACATTTCTGTTATTTTTTTTCCTTTTTTAGTGCCGTCTGTGCTTTTCTATGTTGGGTCTTTTTCTGGATTTTCACAAAGGAACATGTTTCAGACACTATATGCTTCAGAAGTTGGTTGTTCTATTCCTTGTGTGGGATTTTATTACTTACAACTATTCAATGGGACACTGTTCTAAGTTCCCTGTTTATCTTTACATCGCACTATGTACTTTACATTGACAATACAGTGGTGTGCTACCTGATCTTTCCTGGAAATAGCCCAGGAAGGATTGTGTGGACCTGGTGTTCCCTTCATACAGTCCAACCCAGACTAATGATTTCTTTAAGGAATTACTGAAGACCTGCTATTAAGCTCTGTCCCTAAGCCCCCCCACCCCCTCTGACCATGCCCCTGGCATCTCCAAGGGCGAATCACTAGAGGACACCAACCTGTCCTAGCTGGGCATAGTCTGAGACAGTGGGCACCTGAATTACCACGAAGCTGAAGGCCTGGACACTACAGTCTGATACATAATTTATCAACTGTTAACTGTTGTGACAACATTGAAGGAGTATAGAGGGAAGAGAGGTCAAGGTAGGAGGTAGAGGAGTGATAGAGAAGGTCAAGAAGGTACCAGCTAACTGCCAACTTGACCATGACATACAGAAGGAGAGTTCTCTCATATAAGCCATTGAGCCATGTCAACCAAAAATATGGCTCTTCATGTTGTGATGCGAGACATCTGAGGACAGAGGGAAGGAGGAATGAGAAGGATGGAGAAGAGGGAGATAGTTAAGGAAGAAGAGTAGATATCTACAAGAGAAAACTAGATGGTTTTCAAAAAGTGCCGGGCCAACTGGGGTGTCGTGGATATGTGGGCCTGCGGGCCACTCCAAGCAACAGCCTGTTGGACCAAGCTCTCTCAAGTCAAGCCTGGCCCCAGGCTGGGCTTGGGGAGTAGATCTCCCAGAACCCCATCCAGGTACAAGAGAAAGGTGAGGGTAGGAGAAGGTAGCAAAAAATAGGGAGAAAGTACCCTTTACAGTGGAGACAGAGAGCCGAGGTGCTAGTGGGTTGTAGGGGCGGAGAAAACAGGCACTGGATGTTTGTGGGGCAGAGCCAAGGCACTGACAAGTGTCAGTATTTAAGAGTTATTGGTTTTGTGATAAAGGGTTTTCCGTGGTTAGAACTGTAACATATTATATTCCATGAAACTTTTGTACTCCAGTTTTCTATCCTTATGCTCTCTACTTGTACTCCATTTTGCATTACATTGCCATGTACACATTGCAGCATTTTGTAATCACTTTGTTGTCAAAATTTTGTTTCTTAATTAGTTTTTCTACGTAATAAAATAACTGATAGGTTGATGTGTGGGAAATATCCATAGATGCATCCAACAGCTGAACAGTTAATGAGCAGTGTGGTGGGCTGTCTTGTTTACAACTCTTAATTTGTGTTTTCCTGCTCTAAAGTAAACACTTGTTCTTATTTTGTTGGCATCTAAGTATCTCTAGCAATGCATTTGGATTATTGTTGATATATTGAAGAGCCGTTTCATATTTTTAAAATCAAAGTGTATGAGGGACTTTTGTGTCCTATGAAAACGATATCGGGTCGCCCGCATTCATGAACAGTAAGGTTGGAGGTAGGTGACCATGCCAAGTGGTCAAGCCTGGCCTCAGGCCGGGCTTGGGGAGTAGAACAACTCCCAGAACCCCATCAACCAGGTAAGTGGCAACTCGAGCACCATTCTTGGATAATACGAGTGCCATGTGGTTTGTAAAATATCTTTGAAAGGCAAAAATATGTTTTTTAGTTTTATCCAACAATACTGTGGGATAAATACTGTGGCAAGGTAATAGAATCAATAATGTGGCATACAGGTTACCGTGCGTTAATTTCGGGCTCGACGTTCCCGTAGCTCCGTCTCTGACCAGGCCTCCTGGTCAGGGACCTGGTTAACTTTTAACTCCATATATAGTCATATGCTGTATATTGAAAATATCTTAATGATTATTAATGCTTCCATGTTTATAATTGCAGATGCCCGGTCGTCTAAGTCAGTCTTTGGTGAAGGATACGAACGATCGAGGAATAATTCGAGTGAGAGTATGAACACTGCGAAGTCTATGCCCGACTTGAGTAATCCTGAACGTGTGCATCAGGTTCCGAGGCCTGGTAGTGCTGATCTTCTTAGTTCAGAAAATTTTGATCATACTCCTGACATTTTAGATTTTTACCCATCAGCACTAAGCAAACCTGAATATTTGACTATACCAATAGTGAAAGGAACTAATGGGTTTGGTTTTACAATAGCTGATAGTGCATATGGACAGAAAGTAAAAAAAATATTAGATCGTGGCAGGTGCAAAAACTTAATCGAAGGTGACATTCTAGTGGACATAAATAACATAAATGTGAAAGGAATGAGTCACACAGAAGTAGTGCAGGTGCTAAAAGACTGTGCCCAGGGGCAGGAGGCAGTCATCATGGTGCAGCGAGGGGGGCTTAGTTCCCCATCCAAGTCTCGAGTGCTTCGTAAAGAACAGTCAAGTCCGAAAAAGTCTGGAGTTGCTGCTGGACTGTTTAGAAGCAAAACTCCCACAGCAGATATGTACAGTTCACAGCCAAAGGAGGTGATTCCAAACAGACCCAAGACACCACTTGTAGATACTCGTAACCGACCTAAGACCCCAAATATCATGAGTGGAATTGATATTAGTGGATCTGGAGAGGGTAATAGACAGGTGGAAGGCAACACGGACTACCGGCCCCCATATACACCTACCTCGGTTCATGCCCCTTTTCCAGGTGCATTTTCATATACTGGGGGCCAGGTTGATTCCCAGTATGACACAAAGGTTAACAATATGTCTGTTCAAATGAGTCAAGTTAGCTTAGAACCAAATAATTATGAAAATTATATTGGCGATAGTCAGGGTTACCGTGGTGAGGGCCAAGTGCCTCATCAAAACAGCTATAACTATCACCATGAACTGTATTCCCAGGACGGCTACTACCAACAACATGGCGACGAAAGTGATATGAAAAGGAATCAGTCAAAGACACCCACCAAGGAATTCAATAACCAGGGATACTCTCAGTATCCCTACTATAATGAAAATAATGGTAGCAGCTCAAATCATATAAACAATAATAATCATAATACAAGCATGGAGCAGAACTCAGGTTATGGCTACATGCAGTATCCCAAAGATGGCTATGACCTACCTCGTCAAGACTCGGGATATAGTTCACAAGCCCAAATCCCACCTGCCAGAAACCCTTATCCTCCATACTATGGCCAGAATAATTCTGCTGGTTATAATAATCAAGCAGACAGTTTAGGAAGAAGGAAAGAGTCGACTAGCTTCGAGTACGAACACCCAGCTCCAGTCAGCATGCCCAGGTAATGTTATGAAGTACAGGTAATATAAAATGCCCAATATCTGTTATCAGCCAGGGTTGGCATGGGTGCTACCCATTGCCTGCCCAGGCCAGGTTTTTTAAGTTAAAAAATATTGTTGGTTTAAAAAAAACAAAAAAACTTTGCTTTAAATATAGGCCAACTTTGTTATTTTTATTTAAATTTAAATTTGCATTTTTTATATCTATTAATTATACAGACGAAAACCCAATCCCTCCAGCCTGGTCACATTGGGTGGTTTACCAACCCAGTTTTCTCAATCTGTGGTATGGTTGATGGTGCATTACTTTGCAAGTTGGATTTAGCATTACTGTACTTGACTTGACTTCAAATGGCAAAGGAGACTGTGGCAGTCAGTAGGAATGTGTAGCACCGGAAAAAAAAACCCTACCAAGAGCTGGAATATAATTTTCTGGCTAGTACAGTAGATGTTTTGTGACCACACAGAGCCTTACTCTTGTCTAGAAGTATGACTGGTTTCGTTACTCATTGCATGCCTCGTCCAGCAATGAATTGATATGGATAAATTATATTTATAAATACAGTACTGTATCAATTTGAAAAAAGATCATATGTTAATTGGCTATTTTGTGAAGGCGAGGGAAGAAAATTGTTTTGGCATAGTAAATAATAATGTTAAATGTGGCCACAATGGGCTTAGACAAAGCCTATGGGAAGGTTAATTGGATTGTTTTATGGGAAGTTTTAAGCATTTGTGATGTAGGAAAAAAGTACAGTAATTAGCTCTAAAATTTTATAAAACGTGAAAAATTTGTTATGGTACAATGATCGGCATTTATTTATATAAAAGTCTAGATATGAATTTAAAATATAGCCAAATAATTTAAAACAATTGATAAATCAAAGTGTTCAAATTGTTGTTATAGAATAGAATAGCAGGGAACCTAATCTCTTGTTTGGCTGGTGTCTCATGTTAAACTGTTAGAAGTTTAATGCAAATATAATAGGTATTGCATAATATATATTAAACAGAATTAGAATGTATTTTCTTCTGCCTTTGAATGTTGTGTGATATGATCTGTCAGGGTACTTAATTTTAGGAACCAGCAAAGGGTAATAGTTTTTCTCCCTTCAGATTTCCTGATGGTCGGTATAGTGTCAACCCCCGAGGGCCTCCAGCTGGTCCTAATGGTAACTTGGGTTACATGGAGTTTACTGTTACACTTAAGAGACAGGAAACTGGTTTTGGTTTCAGAATTGTGGGAGGTACCGAAGAAGGATCTCAGGTAAAGTGATACTCTTACTTGTTTGGCAATTTCTTTAAATTGGTTTTAGTAATAAATACTTGTACAAGTAATAGCCCAACTCATATGTATGAAAAAAAGAAAGCGATGATTTTTGGCTTGTCCTGGAGCCTTATCGAGTTGTTTCCCCCAAATAATCTGACAACTATACAAGAAGCAGATCCACCGACTCCTTTGCCACCAGGTGGCTCCTGTACCAACTTCGGGTCTGGGTGAATAGACCACCACTATAAAGCCTATGAAGCAATAATTAAGTGGCTAGTGAAAATTAGAAAGGAATTATGTAATGAATTTAGTTGTGCTGATCAACCTGATCAACCAGGCTGACTCATACGTCAGGCTGCGAGCAGCCGCGTCCAACAGCCTGGTTGATCAGTCCAGGAACCAGGAGGCCTGGTCGACGACCGGGCCGTGGGGACGCTAAGCCCCGGAAGCACCTCAAGGTAAGGTGTTGGAAAGATGGCTGGGCAGACTATGCCTGTTTGAATATAAATGTGGAGAACCGACCTGTGAGATTTGTTTTTTTAATTTATGTGAATTTATATAGAATTTATATTTTACGTTAATTTATATATTTCGATGGCAAATTGTGTGATAGTTTAAGTGAACTGTATTTCTGCAAATTCTCACAAATCGATCTCCTTACACATTTGAGGGGGTTTATTAAATTATGTGTAGTCGATCAAAATTGATTGACTAATTCACTACAGTATTAGACTACATATTAGTAATTCAAATTGGGAGGCCTTGTCTTATTGTATGGTAGTGGGCCTAGTCAACCAGTATGAACACGGATGAATAAGCCAGACGATCCACTTTGTGGATGCGGCTGGCCCCCAACTCATGTACTGTATTACTAGGATTAATTCTGGCTTCCTCTGCAATTGTTCCTGTCAAAGGGCACTTGCAATAATAACAGTAATCTTATATATATAACAGCTATAACAGGAAATATTGTCAATTTAAATAAATAGATGAGACTATTACTCTGGGTTCATCGCTGCCCCTCGTTCTAACCGGAAAAATCCTACCTACCTAGCATTATTGGCCAGGAATGACTAGATAAGATTTTGGACAGACACTTCCCTTGTTTAGATGATGACTGCGTGTTGATGGAAGCACTAATTTACTCTCCCTAACACTTCATCCATGGGAGTCTATTTGGAGCTGTTCTGCTCCAGCGACCTATTCTAACATAACAATGGCTGACTACCGAGGCCTCCCTCTCACTGACGCTTCCCTTGCTCTCCAGATGCTTCAAGATGTGTTTAGAGAGTGCCTACATTTACTCTATTTTGGTACTATTAATCAATTTAAAGTGAAATGTTTTTATGATAACAGTCCAAAGAATGTTGTATTAAAAAGAATTCCCAGCAGAATAGCTGGTAAATTTAAATTAATAGCAATGTGGCAATAATATCCCATTTTCTATTGATGGAAAATACCACTATAGGCTACATTTTCTATGGGTTAACTTGTTTATACAACCCAGCAATATTATCTGCATATAATGTATTTAATATTAGTAAATGGTGGCGGATTTTCCGACAAAAAATTAATGCCGAATGGAAGGTAGGATGATAAATAGGTAACATAAATATTGTGTGTTATGCACATCATGCCTATTTATATAAGTTACATAAATCACATCATGCCTAAATTATATAAATAATTACACCTGTAATTATTCTTATTACAGGTGTCAATAGGTCACATTGTTCCTGGTGGAGCAGCAGATCAGAATGGCAGTGTTGCTACAGCTGATGAAATTATTGGCGTTGATGGCGAGATGGTGTTGGGGTCGAGTCATCACCATGTAGTTCAACTCATGGCAGCGGCAGCAACACAAGGCAGAGTAACACTGACTTTACGACGTCGAACGCACAACCCTACTGGTGGGTGATTTAAACTATACGTACCTTAAAGTTACAAATTTTGTATTTTACTTTTTCCATAATGAACTATATACCAGCCATATCCTGTGAAGATTGTCAGGGGAATAAGATTATGTAGTGTACAGCATACATTAAGTTAAATAGGAATTCCCCAACAGTACAGTTCTTTGTTTCTGGCATTTGTTTTAATTAGCTTTTTTTTTTTCAGATCTGCACAATAGATCATTAGAAATGCAGTTTCCTTACGATATAACAGTGACACGAAGAGAAAATGAAGGCTTTGGCTTTGTCATAATATCTTCGGTTACAAAGTCTGGCTCTACAATAGGTAAGTTTTTAATACCATTGCCACTTTTCAAATTTATTTAATTTGCAGGCTAATAGGTGAAATAGTGCGAGTCCCTTGAGAATTCTCGACTCGTATAATTAAGTACTACAGAAAAATTCTAGGTACAGTAATTTTGGAAAAGTCTGCAGGAGGCTGAAAAGAATGATTGCAGGTACAGTTGTCATCTGAGAGAATTGCTTAACGTGCAGTGTTAGTTGAACAAGAGATGTATGGGATATGTATGAACACTGGTGCACTAGAATCAACATTTGACATAGAAATGTGCTTGAACAAATGTTCAATTTGTTTGTGCTGTACAGAATGTTGAGAATTGCCAAATCTGGATGAGAAAAAAACAAAACAAAACCAGATATACTGTATATCCTGAAGCAATAGAAGTAAGATGTGTGTTATTCTTCAACTAAATCTTTCCTATGGTAAGCCCATTTAGATTGTGCAGTTCAGTTTTGATTAATATGTGATAGAGTTTTTAGTGTTGATCTTCTGTTTCAGGTCGGATAATTGAAGGAAGTCCAGCCGAGCGTTGTGGCAGATTGAATGTTGGGGACCGTATCCTGTCTGTGAATGGTGTCGACATAAAGACTCTTCACCATGGTCACATAGTCAACCTCATCAAGGAGTCGGGCTACTCAGTCACTCTGACCATCGGCGCACCCAGGGGTTAGTTTTGTACATCAACTTTAAAAAGACCAATTCAGTCCTTACACTTCAAAATTTTAAGAAGTTCAATAATTCCAAGTTTATTCAATTTATATCTTATCACTATTGATAATAGAATGCCTACCTAGATTCTCTAAAGAAACTAATAATATGGATCAAATAATAACTCATGGCACTTAAATATAGTACATAAAATATGTATAACATTGGCATGTGTTGCTTAAGCTAACGAGTGTGTGCTTAACTGATAATAAACAGCGAAGTTGAGTCTTGGTTATTACATGATTGAAGTATACTCTCAACTGACTTAATCTAATTATCAATCAGCTGTTCCATAAATGTAACTTCATATTTAATAAATCTTATGTTTTTTTTATATATATTTTTGTTTTAGATGATGCATCAAGTACCACATCCAACTCTCAGCGGGTGAGTATCTGTGCTGCACCGTCAATGCATGTTTGTGTAGGATTGAGAATGCCTTGGTTTAATGGTTTTGCAACTAACAGTGCTTGTGTGTTTTGTTGACACATTTAAGCTTTAGAAATGCATAACAAAATATAATATATTGTGGTATTGTGAAAGTCTGCATGCAAAGAGAATGCCACATTTTCCTGCATAGTTGATGAATAATATTGGCCAAACCTTACTAAAGTTGCCTCTGGTTTGATGTAATGTCAGTCTTGGCTTTTTGTCACGATAACTTTAGGTCACGACTGGAGCTGACTGGATTACTTTTGACAGATTGGTGGACTTCTCTGACTGTTGTACATGACAATATGACCTTTAGGTTGTGGTCTTGATCATTATCAATATTTGAAGAATTATGTGGTTTGGATTGAAGTACTCGGCCTCAATCATTTGAGTTAGCCATTATATGTAGATAGGAACAAGTATACTGTATAGATAAGAATTGTAAATAATGATGTAGTAGTTTTACAATGAGGTTGTGGTACAGAAAAATGTGTAGCTTTGTATTACTGTGGTGAGTAATGTTATACGGTAATTGTTTTTATCAGTAATAATTTGCAGTGTATGTAGGTATATTTTATGTAGGGGTGTAGGAAATGTGTATGCCAGTGATGTATGTCGTGCGTGTGTGTAATTACCTAAGCTTTGTTACAGGATGAGAGCCACGCTCATGGTGTACCGTCTTCCCAGCACTCTTTGTCATATAATGCTTTAATGAATAGTATGTGTGTGTGTGTGTGCTCTGTAGATATGTATGTATGTATGAGTATACAAAACTGGCAACAAAATTAATTTGGCAATTTATCACGTTGCATAAATATAATGCAACCCAAAATTTGAAAGATCGGGTAATTACAGTGGCATCTAGTGCTAACCACCTGAACTGTAACAGTGATACAGTTCAGCCAATTATTTTTCCTCCTTAACATCTAAGATTAAGTTGTCACATTTTGTGATGTCACAAATCAATTTTTCAGCTCTTCTAATGATTTAATTATGGTCTATTTGTTATACAGTATCTTTCACACACTCCCCTTACAATACAGAATGTTTTCTTCCACTATAATCTGCTGCAATACAGTTACTATTGATCTTTACTTTGGAGAAGATTGAAATTAAGTACACAAGAATTAAGAATTAAGTAGCACAAGATTGCAAGTAAAGTATAAACTAAAAGACTGTGGTAATGTAAGTAATGCTACCAATGGTGAATGCAGTAACCAGTATGCATACACACACTACGGTGTTCGGTATAGGTGGAGATTAGTGAAGCAGATTTATGCCTGTGCATATTGTAAATAAAGTAAGGCCAGGTTTAATTATATTTATTTGGTTTATTAGATATTGACTATCAAAGCTAGGGTGAATTGTGTGTTTCATATTAGATTCTGACTTTTCTTTATAAAATCTCAGAATGTTTTTCTCATCAGTAGACCTAGGTGTATCTAAATGAGAGAGTACAGCTGACACACATGGCACTGACTGATGACTGCTGACTTGGCTGACAAATTGACTGATTCTTTCCTCAGAGCTCTCAGGGGTCCATGATACTAGCTCAGGCTACGCCAGTCTCGGCCCCACAAGCCTCTGGCTCTCCGGCCCACACCTCTGCCCAGGTGGGTCATACCCGCTGCCTCCAGTGACACCATGCTTAAGACAGTTGTAGCATTTTGCCCATACTCCTTCCTGACTCCTCCCAGTTTCCTTTGGTTGTGCCCTCTTCTATCCTTAGTTTAGCGCTGTGATGTTGACCTCGTGTATTTAATTAACTTTCATTTTTTAATCCAATTTAATTAAAGAAAATTATTTGGACTCAGAGCAGCCTCTTGTCTTAATTTCTCTACCCAAGTCTTAGGTAGTATTACTTCATATTACTAAGATACTGTAGTATATTTTCTTTAGTGACATCTTCCTGTCTACGATAGTATTACATCCTGACTTCAGCTTTGCTACTTTTCATGGAAAAGTCTGGTTGTACTTTAATTCTTCTTATTCAGCTAAAAATAATAAAATTTTTAGTACTTCATTATCAGTTTCACTTGTGTTCACACTTATTCATTACAATTTCTGAAACAAGGATTCATTAGTCATACTCATTCACTGTACGTCGGCTAAAAAATTTTGTTTACCAAATAATTGACTAGTTGCCATCTATAGCTCTACAGGCTGTTGTTACACTGGACTACAACCAAATTCCAAATGAAATCTTACTCTTTGTTAAGACCCTTCACCTGCAGTAATTTATTTCATCACGATACTTATGTAATTTAAACTTTTCTTAATTTTTTTGTATTAATGTGATATCTGTTTTTATTCATAATTAAAGGATTGTAAATAGAGCATTTTCAAGATAAAGGAATTAGTTTTTTCTAAACTGAAAAGGAATGTATTATCATGGGAGAAGCATTTATCCATCATTAAATACTTAGTCTTTAATCTGTTCTTCGAATTCCACAAGAAATGAATGAACCAAGAACAAAGTAATCCCCTGTTTTTGTGTATTTTGCCTACATGGTATATCATTAACAGTATATTCAATGTAGTTACCTCTCAAGAATTACACATGATTGAGGCAATGATGGCTTGCAGAATCTAATCCAAGTTATATTACTGTACTGTATGAAGAAGACAATAAATATGTACATTGTTCCGATAATTAGTTTGTTGAATTGTGTAGAGGGTCACAAGTATCACGGGAAATAGGCTGCAAGTACATAACTGAATAGAATGTCAATGTGCAGTTGAGTATATAGGAATGCTTAGAGGAGATTGCATCAAAGTGAAAGGATAAAGTGTGTACACACGCATTCTCTATCCTTAAATACATATTGAAAAGAAGAAATTTGTAAAGGTATAGAAGAAGAAAAAAAATATTTTTTGAAAAGAGTTCAGTTGAGCAAGAACCCAAAGTTATAAAGTATTCAACAAATGGTGTAGAAAATTTGAGTATTTTTTTATTAAACAGTACAGTAATGTGTAATTAAGATCACTGGTAGGGTGACGAGGTTTTGTACGATTTTCAGAAGTGTGGGACCGAAAATTGCTTGGCCTCACTCTGTCCATGTAAGGCAGGTACATATGGTAATGTGCACTATTTTGCCATCTCTTATTTTCATTCTTGATAACAAAGCTGCTCATGACTCGGCTATACATGTCTCCTCCTTATTATAGTTGTTACAAATTTAGTCATTGACATTTTATTTGAATACATTGGGACCAAACCCAACAAAATTAAGTTTGCTCAAAAAAACACTTTTCATTCAATGAAATGTATTCATGGCAAAATTATTTGGGTTTCAGTTTAAGATGCTAGTAATTGAAGTTTGCAGTTAATTTTTGCTAACGGGTGAATGTCATGTACTAGAATATTCTGGATGTCGGTGAAGTATGTCACCTGACCAAGTAACTGGAGATGCTGCAGTGCTTGGCTAACTTTATTAACCACAGAAAAGATTCCTCAATGCAAGTTCTTATCTTTTCTGATACAAATACATTTCCTGGATGTTAAGTCATGTGGGAAACTGCACATGTAATTCAGTAAATCTGAAGACCGAGTCTGACTGCCAGAGGTTTTTAGGAGACTCAGAAATTATTTAAGCCCTCAGTGTTCAGATGCTCTGTGAAGAAAACATGTTACCTGTTGACAAATTCCTGACACCTCGGTGGATCCTCAAATGAACATAAGAATAACTAAAACTGCAGACAGCCTCTTGGCCCATGTGCAGCAGCTCCTATTTATTCTAAACAAAACTTGTTTGTATACAGTATGTCTAACCTTTGCTTGACACAATACAACGTTTATTATCTTGCTAGTAATTTATTTCGCAAATCGACAACCCTATTTCTATACCAATTCTAAATCTTACACTTTTACAACTTGTATTAATTAATTATGGGATGCTACAACCAAAGTTGGGGAAATAGAACTTTGTATTTTATTTTATTGTAATCTATATGTAATGAATTACAATTTGGTAAAAGTTATATTGTTGGTGGGCTGTGGCAAAGCAAAACTCCCCTATTCAGTCCCCAGACCCAATTTATTGGACTACTTTTTGTATGTAATTTATTCATAATAATCTATATGAAACTAAAAAAAATTAGAACTAAATATATTTTTGTCTGGGTACTGTTATGGGCAGATCACAATTTGTCTATCTTGGCCAAACTTGAGAATTTTTTTTTTTTAATCCAAATTTTCATTTGTTCTATAAAATAATAGTTTAGTTTTGTGAAATCCAGCAGTGGAGGAGGAATGTTGCAACAAAACTGTAGTGGAAGGGTTTAAAGCTATTAATAACACTAGTTTCCCATTTCCAAATTACTTTTAGTAGAAATTAAATTAACTTTTGTACTATTAACCATTTCAAAACAATTCTTAAACATTCCCAAGCTTATTCTTAGTTTTATGCTTCCATGTTCAGAGTTACACTTGTCACCTAGTATATTATTTCTGTATCGCTCAGTGCAGCAGGGACTTATCACATACTGTCCTGCTCACTTTATACTGGGTAATCTTCTTCAGTGTTACATGTGGAAGACTTGATAGACACATTACTTTTGCTTTGATCTGACCTATTGAAAAGATTTTTTTCTATGGTCCAGGTATTTGAAGCAAAATTACCCAAATGCTCATACTTCCCATCCCCTTCCCTTGGGCATGCACACACACTACTGTAAGTCATCCTTTCCCATGAAACATATACATATGCCCGTAACTGTTCTTATAATTTCTCAGATAAACATAACACTAAGCAGATGCTATGAATGTTTCTCAAATATTTTCTCAATAGGAAATTGGTACATTTGTTAGCCAGTGTTTGAAAAAAAAAGTCAATGAAGGTATAATTTTGATTAGATTGTAGTAAACTATGACAGCTTGTTTACAATTAACCAGCCAATATTTGTATCTTGCATTAGAGTATTTTGATCTAATTACTACTAACACCCAAAGTTCTGTAATAAAGATCTAATATAAAGTGTAATACTGTATTATGCTACTAGAAAACACACACAGTATATGTATTGTCCTATACAAATTTGCACATGTGTAGGCTTTCTTATGGGCACATTAGGCAGTTGAGGCCATCACATCACATCCTCACTTATGACCAAATTCTCTTTCATGTTTGAAGCTTTCTCGGTCTGCCCGTTGGCTCTCCTGCTGGTCACTGACCGAGAGGGTTCGACGGGGAGGTTTACATGTGAGGAGTATAATTTGTCTTGACACGGGACTGTAGCCTGGCTTGTTGCTTCATGATAAAACTTGATTTGGCTTCATTTTGTTTTTTTCGTGTCCTTAAAAGTAAATTGCTTTTTTCTAGGTTTTGATTTCTTCCTCCATAGGTATAGGTTGTAATTTGGTTGTTTAACATAGCAGTATCTTTCCTTTTTTAGAATTTCTTATTAAGTAGTTATGAATTCATGGCAGAAGTACTGTATTTAAGAAATAAATCTGCTATTACTATAAATTAGTATTTATTTATTATTTTTTCATGTTGTATTATGTAATACTTTAAATAGCATCTTGAAGTCTGGTTTTATGTTTGCAATTGTACAACATTACCATTTAATTTCAATAATATATAAGAACATTTTATTAGATTCATCATAGTAAATTCTAATTAAGTAAATGGATTACAAACTATTTTGCAGCAGTGTACACTGATTACACTGTAAAATGTGCTGTATCAAGCTGAATAAAAACTGGGAGCAACAACTTAAGAGAGAACCACAATGGATTGAGCTCTCAATGATTTATATAAATGATCACTGTATGATTGTAGTTGGTTATCTGGTAGGCTGAGAGTGATGCTGGTGACGATGGGGAGTACTATGGAGTGGAGCTCCAGCGAGGCACTCGAGGCTTTGGTTTTAGTATAAGAGGGGGCCGGGAGTTCCACAACATGCCTCTCTTCGTCCTCAGGATTGCCGAGAATGGACCAGCGGCGGAGGATGGAAAGTTAAAAGTAAGCTAAACTTCGTATTTAATCTTGTACACCATAAATTACTGGAGGAAATATTTTTTTCAGACATTGCTTAGTCTTTCATCATTACAATATATTAATTAAAAGGTTTTAAAATAAATCTGGTATTTTGGTTATTAGAGTATAGTATTCATCTTTGCATGTTTGGATATTTTATTAAACCATGTACAGTATATTTAAAAAACTTATTTTCATAGGTTGGAGATCAACTTATGGAGATAAATGGGAGATCAACCAAAGATATGACCCATGCTGATGCCATAGAACTGATCAAACAATGTGGGAACAGTGTTTCTCTAATGGTAAAACGAGGTGGAAAGATTCCACAACACCTAGGTAAGTAATATTTTTCACTTGTCATCATATGGTTTTCACACATCCTCCTAACATATCCATACTACATATAACATATCCCACTCAACTCTTACCACATCTCCGCTGCTTCATTACTGCACCAATCCTCCCCACACTGTACTCCTGCACAAATGGATTAATTAGGATCAACAATTATGTACAGTATTTTAATCCATTCATGGACAGCACTCTCAGAATTATGGCAGTGGAGTGGGATGCAAGACAATTGCTAACCTGGAAAGTTGGGTAATGGGTAATAGGGGTTCTACTGTATGTCATTTATAATACAACACAGAGCAGAGCAACAACATAGGAGTGTCTGGAATAGCATAACAGAGAATAGTGTTTGTGAAGTGTTACTAGAGCATCTATAGTAACTGATCCTGCAAAAGGTGGTAACGTGTAGAAAGTACTCCACAGTGACTGACACCTAGTGGACACAGACAGAAAAAGATCTTGTCCAGGCAAAATCTAAGCCCTCAATTCCCCACTCCAGCTCATCCCCAAACCCCTGGTAACTATCCCACAGGAGGATGAGCCCTTCACCCCGAGCAACTCCTGCCAACCCCACCCCCTGGACTTCTTCCTGCCCCAAGCAGGCCCAGACAAGATCTAAGCCCTCTATCCCTCACCCCACCTCCCTCCAAATCTCTGGTAACTACCCCACAGGTTGGATGTGCCTACCCAAGTAGCCCTGCCCATGGAATGGCTTCCTACACCAGCAAGAAGTGTGTGTGATAGATATAGGAAAGCGAGCTTCAAGGTAATATACTCGAACATCAATGGGATTACTAGTAAAGAAAATGAACTGGCCGAAAGGGCGCAGGAAGAAAACCCAGATGTAATAGGACTCGCAGAAATACAATTGCCAGGCATCATAACAAATGCAGTTTTCTGCAGGACTACTATATATACTGAAGTAAGGAAAAAGAGGGAAGGGAGAGGAGTGGTGGCGCTGCTGATAAGGAAGGACTGGAGTTTTGAAGAGATGAAAATTCCAGTCTGTGAAGGATTCAGGATACATTACAGGAACTATGACAATGGGTGGACCTAAGATAATAGTAGCAATCATTTACAACCCCTCCATTAAATGTCAGAAGACCCAGACAGGAGTTTGATAGGATCAACATGACAAATATTAATATAAGAGAGAGCAGCTTCATTTGCCTACAGGAATGGATCCAGACTCTTAATCATGGGCGACTTCAATCACAGAAAGATAAGACGCGTGAGAATGGGGAACCGCATGGAGGTGCAGATACACGGAGAGCTAAACTCTTGGAAGTGGCAACAAGAAGCTTTGAGCCAACATGTCGAGGGACTCCACGAGAATGAGAGGCAATGAGGAACCATATAGACTTGACCTGATATTCACCTTGAATGAATCTGAAATAAGGGAATTAAAATTTGAAGCCCCCATGGGAATGAGTGACCACAGCGTATTGACATCTGAGTATCTGGTGGAGGTAGAGATAACTTGTCCAAGGATGGGATTGGAAAGGAAAAGGCTCAATTACTGAAGAGGAAAATATGACGAGATAGGGAACTTCCAAATGGAAATACATAAGAAATAAAACTTGGAAGACTGTACAAGATATGATGGACTGTCACCTAAAAGTGCCAGGAAGCTGCAGACAGGTTTATTCCAGTCCAAAAGGAAAATGAAAAGTAACAGAAGAATCCATGGTTCAATCACGAATGTAAGGTAGCGAAGCAATTGAATACAAGAACATGGAGAAACTACAGGAATAACAGAATACCAGAGGGCCAGGAATGAGAACCTCAGAGTGAGGACAGACGGAGACACAGTATGAAAATGACATCGTGAGTAAAGCCAAGACCCAACCAAAACAGCTCCACAGCCACATCAGGAGGAAAACAGCAGTGAAGGAAAAAGTGATGAAACTGAGAAAAGGGGGGGGGGGGGAACAGATACACAAAATAACAAGGTGGTGTGTGAAGAATTCAACAAGAGATTCCAGGAAGTCTTCACTCTAGAACAAGATGCCCCTGTACTAAGGGAGGCGGTGCTTACTTGCCATTTTCATCCACCTCCTTCCTTCTCATTCTTAACCTCAAATTTAATTTTTATTCACTGGTTTACCATCATACATTTGGTCAACTTACCCAAGCCATCTCAGTATGCTCCCCTCAATCTTCTGACGTGTTAACTTGTGACATTACACATTTTAATTTATGAATGAGTTAATACCACCACTCCTTCATGCAGACCTCTGGCTGCATCTACACTACACTAAAAAAAAAAAAAAAAAAAATCCACCTGAACTTCTGTACAGTATGTTTTGTTTGGTCGCATGGATGAGCAGTAAGCTTTTTGGTTGATGGTCAAGGTAGTGGCTGTAAGCCTTGCTTATTCTGCCTATGCATTTCAAAAGATTCATCTTGTAAACACAAATAGCACAGTTAAAAAAGTGATAATAGAAAATTTTGATTAGATAGTTTATGGTTTTGAACCAATTGCCTCAAACGTATGGATAAAACTAAAATGCATTATCGTACCATTAAGGCAGAGAGAAATACAGTGCTGTCGACACTCAACAATCTGAACATTATGGGACCCATCCCCATTTGAGTTACTTTTTTACCAGGAACCTCCAAAAATAAACATATTTGAATTTATTCAGAGAACACTTGTCTGAATATCGGGTACACGGCTGTTCAGTACCCTCCCAGTTAGCATTAGAAATATTGCTGTAACAAAGATGGATGTTTTAAAGATACACTTAGACAAGTTCTTGCAAGAAGTGCCGGACCAACCGGTTTGTAGGGGACATGTGGGCTTGCGGGCTGCTTCAAGCAACAGCCTGATGAGCTAAGTTATCACAAGTTGAGCCTGGCCCTAGGCTGGGCTCGGGGAGTAGAAGAACTTCCGAAACCCTCTCCAGGTATGCTCCAGGTATACAGGTATACCTGGACATGCCAGACAATAACCACTGACCCATGTTGAGCTTAAAAGTGTCTCGATCAGGTTTTGGTAAACTTGTTTAGAGTTTGGAAGGTACTGTACCATTTGATACCCATAATCCAATTTTTAAGAGATAGTCACCCACTTAGGTGTAGGAAGTGATGTTCACCAGATTATGGTAGTTACTGTGCATTGACAGAGATGGACTCGTCAAAATTAGATTGTGTGTATTAACCAATGCCTTCCAGACTCCAATTAAGTCTGGTAGAACTTATGATCGACATATTGTATTCTTAATCTCAACATAGTTCAGTGGTTATTGCATGTACAGTATCTGGGAAGTACATAGTGCCTCTAAATTTTCTCATTACTGTACACTTCCATCACTTCCCAGCCACAAAGACAGCACATAACGAGTTGCAAAAGGCTTGGGAGGTGTTGTGTTGCAGGAATTTTTGTTTTTAACATTTTTTTTTAATCATTATTGTAAAATTACTGTGATGATGATTACTGTGCAATTACTGTAAAAATACAGTAATTGTGAAGAAATGCAGTCACAGCATAGAGCACGGTCATTGTGTATGAAAAACTCTGATCTTGTAAACATCAGACCAATTTGTGTACAGTGTTAGCAAATCCTTTGTGATTCCCTGGTTTTGTACTAAAGAAAGGCGTGAGAGTTGCCTGTAATAAAATGTAGCCAAAGTGAGTATGCGGTTTAGAATTAATATATTTATTGTTAATTTCTTTATTATGCACCCCATACCCATCCCATGGGCGGTGGTGGAAAGGGTTAGAGGCACATAATCGGATCAGGAACTGAACCCCATTAGAGTAGGTGGCTTAGGTGGAATGCAAAGGTCATGGAAAATTCTTAATGTTTGATCTTCCACAACAACCACTCGAGAGCAAGTGGAGACACTCGGTAGTGTCTCCACTCAGTGATCACCAGTACCATTGTCTATTACAAGGTAGAACCCCCTCCCTGCTCAGCTCGTTGTCGCCGTGTGGGGGCTTAGTGGGCGGCTGCCGGAGTGTGATGCTCCTTGGGACAGTCCTCTGTCCTTTTCTAGCCTTGTGCTCCTGCTGCTGTCCTCTCCAATTCTGCTGGGCATCTTTTCCTTTTCCTTCTGTTTCGTTTTTCTCCCCCCTCTTCTCCTATCTGCTTGCCGTTTCCTGCCGACCTTTTGCTCGTTCTGGTTCTTCCCTTGGACTTCTTCTATTTTGACGCCCGGGTGCTTGAGGAGGCATACTCTTGCACCCGTAGAACTGTAGTACCCGACGTCGAGAGCAAGGGGAACCTTTTATTGTCAATCCCCCTTTCGTCACTGAACCCGATCTCGACGGACTGTTGGTTTCTTAAGGTGACGTTTGTGGGGCGTATACTCACGACGCACCCCTAGGAGGCCCAGGCAAGATCGGCGATAGCTTCTTGTTGGGTGTCCTGCCTCTAATTGTGGCTCCATGGTGGGTGTGGTGGCACATTCGTGAATGAATTCTTCTTTTCGTAATGATGATAACCCCTGTTTCGGCTGCTTCTGGTTTACCTTCTCAGGCTTGTGGGGTGGGCAACCACGCCCCCGAGTCGGTCCGTATTGGAAGACCGGGCTCTGTAGCCTCCACTGCATTGGGCCCCGACCTTGCTCCTCCTTTGGTTTTCTGACTTCTTCCCCTGGCTCCCCTCCCTCCTCTGTGGTTGGGTCGAGACCCAAGCCCCCTGTGGTGACTACCTGGTCCCCTGGCGCGGCTCCTTCTCTAGTTGTAACTACTGCGCCTTTTAACCCCTTTTAACCCCATTTAACTTTGTTAAATGTTGCCTTTACTTAGTCTTGTGTAATAGTGAGAAGTTGTTTAGTAAATTATATGAATGGATTAAGTACATAATATATACAACAAACAATTTAGCTCATAAATTCAGGGTTGCTGGTACCTCTCAGGGTTTTACCCTTGCCAATATTTTCAATTTCCAGCCAACTTGTATAACTTATTTTCTTGCAGATACAATGAATCCAAACAGTCTAGGATCACCGGTTGGTCCACCCCCACCTGGTACTAACGTAAGGTCTACAGCTACACTTCCACCACCCTCACCTGGCTCCATGGGCACCACCTACCCCCCTCCTCCAGGTCCTCCTTATTATGCTCATGGAGGCTACAATGCTTTACCCACCTCTTCCAGTGGTTATCCACCAGCTTATCCTCACAATGGTGCAATTCGAGGACCCCAGCCTCTCCACTCCTCTCCAGCAACTCAGTACCCTCTTCCATTGACACCAAATGGTCCATTAAGCCAATCTTCTCCCAGAGTAGTGGCTGGCGAAAACTACTATTGGAATCGTGTTTCAGAGCATCGACCGGCGTGAAACTAATGTATTTAAAATATTGGATCTAAAAATGTACATTTCTCAAAAGAAACTGTGATCCAACAGTGATAGTCACAAATGTCTTGTATATGTTGTAATATTTTAATACATGCTGTGAAATGTCCAGGAAAATTATAATAGACAAATATATTTACTGGACTCTTGTTTACTATGCTCAGTGCCTCTAGTGTTCATATGGGACCATATTGTTTTCATAGCTTCATTTCATAATTTTGAAATTCCTTCAGGAAAAGGAAATGACATGATCTCCTTACTTTGTCTTATTCTGATTTCATTTGCCTAATGAAAGTTTTCTTTAAGAAAATTTTTTAAATTAGGTAGTCATTTTTAAAATCCTAAGACAGTTTACCTTTTAAATTTTATTTTATGTTGGTCCTCTTTAATTTTACAGGATCATGACCAAAGTGACCTTATATATAAAGGAGTAGGACCCCATGCTCAATGCATTTGTTTTGTCAATATTTATAAATTTAAAAAACTTTTTGTGTAGTTTTCATAAGACGAAGTGTCCTCTTAAATATGGCCATTTGCCATACTTTTTTTTTTTTCTTTTAAATGCATGTGTACATATTATGTAGTTATAATAGTTTAGGAGGACATACAATGAAGCATCATTTCAATGATTACAGACCTATGACAGAAATGCATATGGCAGTTCTTAGTACCAATACATGACATGAAAACATGTAAACATCATATAACATTACCAGAGATTGTCAACACTGCCTTGATCAAAAACCCTTAAATGCCTTATAATGGACTGTAAAGTATGTGGACTATTATAAGAATATTGTATGTATTCTAAAAAGTTTATATTATTTTAAATATCGGGTACGTTGCATGTTTTCATGTGACAGTCCTGTGTATTATATACCTTGTTAATAAATAAACATGACAAATAATGTTTCAACCTTATTTGCACTTTACCTAAGAACTGTAAATTGTGGTGAATGATTTATTGATTAATCATGTTATTGTATTAGTGTGCATTTATACAGTAGACGACACATTATCATCCACATACCTCCATTCCTGACCATGCACAGATAATGTAGGAGTTGAGACATCAAATCATTGTACTATTGGCAGATATTTTGCACCCGAGAAGCACTTCGTAAACTGTAAGAATACAACACAAGCAGAGTGGGTATGTGTTTAACAATGTACATATTCAGGTTAGGTCTCAAGTCATAGCTATTAGCAACCAACTTGTAAATATAAATAGTACTGTACTTACTGTAGTGTATGGTTCTTTATTATTTTCTCGACATAAATGTTTTGATGTTTCCCCTTATTGTAGTTTCACTATCAACTTCTTTAATGGGCTTACCAACTTGTTTAATAAGCTAATTGCCAACTTGTTTAATATAAGCTAATCAGCAGCATAATTTATTGCCAGTCTGTGCTTATTGGTAAGATCCTGTTCAAAACCCATTACTTGTTTAATTACAAGTTAATTATGTATTTCTCTATTAGAATAAATAAACCATAATTAATTCATCCACGAGTACCATTTGCCTTTGCCATTAGCAAAGACCTAAATGCAATAAAGCAATATAAAGTAAATATCTACAGACACTGTTCAATTCTGTAGGCTGTATTTCATTAGGGTTTTAAATAAATTGCATTAAACATTTAATGAAATGGCTGGTCACATGACTTATGTTGACTTCAATGCCTTTCATTGCCTACATTTTTGTTTTGGCCAGGAGGGGGGGGGGGGGGGGTTGAGGTTATCTTGAGATGATTTCGGGGCTTTAGTGTCCCCCCGGTCCTCGACCAGGCCTCCACCCCCAGGAAGCAGCCCGTGACAGCTGACTAACTCCCAGGTACCTATTTACTGCTAGGTAACAGGGTGAAAGAAACCAAGAAATCACCAAGATGGTTCTCAACTACTAGGTCACACCAGTTGTGGAATTCTGTTTAACCTACTGGGGACCAGAGCCTTGCCTCTCGCAAAAGCTCAGAAAGCAGGCAGCCCTGCCACCAGCATCCAGAAAGTCGGCAAACCACTGCTGAGTTTAGAGACCGAGCCCTCACACTAACTATCCTAATAATATAGAATGATTGAATCTCTTGTAACGAAATGTTTCGTCTAATTACCCAAGTTTAGTTACAGGATGAGAACTATGCTCGTGGTGTCCCATCTTCCCAATACATACTATCGAATAACGCTTTGAAACTATTGATGGTTTTGGCCTCCACCTCACTTAACTTGCAAATAGTGGGGGGTAGACAGAACAAGAAAATTTTCAAATTTTTTAGGGCACCTTTGTTTCCTTTGACAGCTTGAATCTGTCCTCTTTGGCTTGAAATTGCTGGTTTCAGGAATTCCTCTCAATTTGGTTGGTTCCTGTTATTTTGTAAATGGTAATCATAATCACCTTTTTCTTCAATTTTTTAGCTTTGGCATATTTAACACCTATAGCCTCTCCTTGTAACTCTTGTTTTTCAGTTCTGGAAGCCATTATGTAGCATGACTTTGGTTCTTTTCCCAGTTTATTGATGCGTTTCTCGAGATATGGGCATCATACAACTGCTGCATATTCCAGTTTGTCTCATAAAAATAATGAACAGTTTCTTTAGTACTTCACCATCCATGTAATTAAAAGCAAATCTGAAGTTGGAAAGCGACGCATATGCTCTTCTCTCAATGTTCTTTGTGTTCCTCTGGTGACAGTTTTCTATCCAAAACAAACCTAGGTATTGTTCTTTATTAGTTGTTTAGTTCCTTTCCATATAATTTGCAAGTTGTGTGGTCTATTTTCTCGAATTCCACATTCCATAGCATGGCATTTATTCACATTGAATTCCATTTGCCACATGTCGCTCCAAGAACTTATTTTAATCTAGATCAATTTATCTTTGATCAATCTTTATTAACTTAATCTGGACTCCTGCTTTAACAGAATGTGGTCCATCAGAATGCAAAATGCAGTGGAGGCTGTGACCTCTGGTAGCAAAAAATTACCCGGTAGTTGACTCCCTCACATGTTGCTACAAGGTGAAAAATGGACTAAATTTTCACTTTTTTAATTGGACTAATTTGTAATAATGATGTTTAGCAACAGTACTAGGCTGTAGGAGGTAGGTATGAGAGAGATTAACTATCAATGAAAGGAGGAAACTGGTGATGAAACTGGCGAGTAGTTTCCAACCAACCTTGCAAGCTGTTGCAAGATTGGCAAAAAACCAGCGTTAAATGTGTTGAAATGCTATTTTTTGGGAGAGGCCCGGAGGCTCCCCGGAGCTATCCAGGCTGAGATGTATGTTATTAGACTGGCATCAGTCAGTGTCAATGGAGATCCAGGCCTACCGGGGTCCATGAGCCAGAACCTGGCCCCCTCAGAGGCATGAGGAGGCAATGGCCTATAGAAATGCACATGTGTAATTACCTAAGTGCATTTACAGGATGAGAGCTACGCTCATGGTGTCCCGTCTTCCCAGCACTGTCATATAATGCTTTGAAACTACTGACGGTCTTGGCCTCCACCACCACCTCACCTAACTTGTTCCAACCGTCTCGGGGCGGTCAATCACCGAGCAGCAAAAGGCCTACAGAGGTAGTCCCCAAGGTGACTTGTGGAAGATAACCCCAAGCCCCCAAGGGCAGGGCACTCGGGGAAGGGAACCCTAAGCAAATGCAACCCGAGTACCTGAGAATATTTCTTCCAGCTCGCACGCCACCGTAAGAGCAGAATTGGACACAAGGCAGAGCACAACAGAGAATTCAGGAGCTGGAGCCACACAACCGAGCCACAATCACATTAGCCGAGAACTGACAGACAAATAGCTGGCACAATGGGTCTGGGGCTCCCCCTTCCAGGGAGGGGGTAGTTGCGCAGACAAGCAGCACGGCAAGTATGACGTCATGCTCGTTTGCTCTTTTTCAATTGGGGAGTTCTGTTTACTTGTTAGTTTTCTGAAGTAGTTTTAACCAGATTAGGGGTTTGTTTTGGGGCGCCTACCTTTCTGGGTGCCTGGCCCGGTCGATGGCAGACATAGAATGCTCCACACATGTGCAATTCTACAGATCGTTGCTCCTCGTGCCTCTCTTGAGAGGGCCAGGTTCTGGTTCGTGGCTCCGGTAGGCCTAGAACTCCATTCACTCTGATGCCAAAGTCTAATAATATACATTTTAACCTCGATAGCTCCGGGCAGCCAAAGGGGCTCCCCCCCAGAAAAGAATCTGATTGGTGCCAGCACTTTTATATTCAAAAGCAAAAAGATCAATTTTTAAAATTTGCTGCTAAAAGTACTTATGTAGTGTATGGAAATTCTATCAGTAGGTCAGGTACCTCATTTGGTCACTTGAGGATGAAAAGGCAATTGGGCCTTCAGTGCAAGAGGTAAGTAAAATAAATAATATTTTTGTATATACAGTTGTGTATTTTTTTTTTTTTTTGCTTATAGTACTGATATTTTAAACATTTTTTTAATATATTGGAAATGCTTGATATATTTTCAGTAAAAAAATCAATACAGTACCTTTAAAAGTTGTCAAAAATGGGCAAGGAACAGATCCCAGATGAAACAATTTTGGATGTGTAGGAAAGGGTCCGGTGTGATTTAGTCCACTTGGTCAAGAGCACAGCATTAACAGTGACAGCTAAATTAGTGTTAGGTGGTGTGTGTAGGAGGCACCCAGCCCTCACCCCTGTTCACCTCACTGTTCCTAGCCCCATTTGTGTCCATCTGGCATCTGCTACCCTCACCTTCCTGTTGGCTCTCTCCTGCTAATCGTCTCTGCTGCCGCCGTTGCACTGCATTCTGAAATGATGCAAAGTGGTGTGGTACAACTGTGGACATCTTCAAGAGAAAACTAGTTTGTTTTCTAAAAAAAAGTGCTGGACCAACCAGGCAGTGGTGGGCATGTGAACCTGCGGGCCACTCCATGCAACAGCCTGGTGGACCAAGCTCTCTCAAGTCAAGCCTGGCCTCGGGCCGGGCTTGGGGAGTAGAACTCCCAGAACCCCCATCAAGCAGGTACCAGTACTGTATATGTAAAAAAAATTAACTACATGGCATGAGGAAATGCTTTTTCATACAGTATTAACATTTATCTAAATTTGTAAATACTATGTCTTCTTGTGATACCAGGTCCCATTGTGTAAGTAGATATAGATACAAGATTATCAAATGCAATAAAGCACAGTATAATCCTAGTTTACAACACTCACCAGCTTGCGTCTGGTGGCTGCTAATTGATCTCTAAGGTGTCGCCGCTCCTGCTCCCCTTCCTCCTGGGCTAGCACTGCTGTGTTCAAAGCTGCTGTCACACTCTGTGAGAGATGGTACCTTATATAAAATGGTTAAATATTTGTTAGGCTCATTATTATTTTTTTGCAGTGTTCATGCAAAGCCCCTGTGAAAAATACCTTTAAATATCAACTTCCAAGACTATCATGGTAGTACTAGGAATATCTGTATTTTTATTGGCACCGTGTTGGAAATTCTCATGGCTTAACCCCAATTGCGCAGTGGTAAAACACTCGCCCCTCACTTAACGAGCAATTTAGCCTGGGTTCATATCCTGGCTGGGAAGGATTAATTAGGTGTCAATCCTTAAATGTACACCTATGTTCACCCAGCAATGCATGGGTACCTGGTTGTTAAATGATTTGACAGGATGTATTCCAGGGAAAATTAAGATTAAGGACCTTTCCAAAACATTATGTATTCTTGAGGTTATCTAGTAATTGCCTGTTAACTGGTCAGGGCTTAGCGTTCCCACGGCCCCGTCCTCGATCAGGCCTCCTTTTTGTTACACATTCCCAGGAAACAGCCCATAACAGCTGTAACTCCCAGGTACCTATTTACTGCTAGGTGAACTGGAGCATCAGAGTGAAAGAAACTATGCCCATTTGTTACCTCCTCTACCAGGTATCGAACCCGGAACCTCAGGACTACGAATACGAAGCACTGTCCACTCAGCTGTCAGGCCCCTAATGTACAGAAGGGATGTTGCTGCTAGTGGCTTTACAAGAATGTAAGAACTCTTGCATTAATTAATGAAATAAAAAAGTACTGAGTTACTTGGACCATACAGTATTTCTATCAGAAAATGTAGACTTTTTATCATTAAGGCTTTTTCTATTTTTGCAATGGTACCACTGGAAAGAGCAGGTAATTTCTATGGCCTAAATATAAAAAGTGAATATTTTTTCTGGGGGAACCCCATTATGGTTTCCTGAAGCTATATTCACAGAGACAGCTTCCCAAACACAGCAACATTAATCTTAGGGCTAATGTTGGCCAACCAGGGAGCCAGAACCTGGCCCCCTTCACAGAAGCACAGAAATTACATGTTTTCCTCCTCCTTTCTTAGCTTCAGGGAGCCTCCATGAGGCTCCCCCAGAAAACCAGCATTGAATGACTCCCTTCTACCTTCCCCTGTATCAGGTATGTTGGTTCATGGTTCATCAGCTCCAGACTGAGCTGGCTGGTTGTTTAAATGCCTGGCTGGCCAGATGCAAACCTAGTAAAATTGGTTGCAAGGTGTAGTGCAAGTGTGTTACCACTCATCAGCTTTCTGGGTGCTTTCCTGTGTGAGGATGATCATTCCTGCTCCCTGTGCTTCTGTGAGGGGCACCAGGTTGTGGCTCCAAGTCCTTGGTAGGCCAACAGAACTTCTAAAGACAGCTGTGATTGTGTATGGGAAGCTATCTCAGTTAATATAGCTTCAGGGAGCCACTAAGGCTCACCCAAAAAAGTGCCATTTCATTACAGTCAATGCTAGTCAAAGCATATATACCCCACATAGATATCATATTAGATAGATATCAAAGCATATATACCTCTATACCTCACAATCGACTTGAGAATGGCCCAGGATGGACCGAAACGTCATTGTCCCTTCATTTTCTAGTGTGTGTGGTTTGGTCAACATATATACCTCGTATAGATATCATCATTCCTTTTGAAGATGTATTATTAAAATATGAAAGTACTTAAGGAAATTCCTGTTTCAGTTCTTCCTCCGTGATCTGACACAGTCACATTTTTCATCACATGTTAATTTTCGTGATTTACACACACATATATATAGAAGCATATAAGCTTTGTATAGATATCACGAGACGAGCCTTACCCCCGAGTCGATTTGATTATCTGCAATCCCAAAGTTAGTGTTTTTTTGTGTGTGTTGTCGATGCCTGGTGCATAGATGACCACTGACCTTGACTTGGTCTTCCTTGGCCCGGAGCTGGTGTGTGAGATGAGCTCTGACAGCAGCAGTTGCATCAGGGTGCTGGCTGGCCGACCGCTCCACTACCCGCCTCAGCTCCTCCACCTCCCGCTCCTTCTGTGCTACCTGTAAACATTCCACATGCTATTATTGTTTGTAATTGCCTGTTAACTCATCAGCTTATTAATTTATCTCTATGAGTGTCACACACACACACACACACACATCTAATTATGATGAATAAAAAACCTAAGTCATTGGTAACAGTTTCAGCTCTTGGCCTTGGGCACCGAGCCCAGAACCCAATCATCCATCATGTTAATATTTATTGTAGTATGGGAAATGTCCGACACAAAAAACTGGAAGTAGCTTTTTATCTTTAATTGTTACATATTCCTCATCACTGTGCACCCCCCCCCCCCGTCATTCATTGCAACATATACTCCATGACTCATTGCAAGACAGGACCCTATCACAAGTGCCTCACCTCGCCCTCACTGGCTGCCACTCTCTGTGTAGCCGCCACCAACCTCTTCTGCAAGAGCTGGTTCTTGCGCAGGAGGTCATATGTGCTGGGGTCAGATGCCTGCAAGCAAGAGACTAGGTTTAATATGATATTCACATAAAAGTGCTGTCATGGCAGGGGATAATAATGAAGTGCCTAAATTAATACTGAACTTATGCCTCTACATCTAGAGAAGCTCCTCTTTATTCATCTTGATACAAGAGTACTACATCCACATACAAGAGTACTACAGTACTCTTGTATGTGGCAAATCAGCTCTACTAAGTCTTGCACATCAGAAGAAACCCATTAGTCATATTAGTTAAATAAAAGTGGAGAAATTATTTTATTTATTTTATCTCTCAGATGACAGTTTATATTCTTTCCTCTAAATTTAGTGTCTGGCCATGTATACAAGACTGACTGGGCAGCTTTGCCTGCCTGTCTGTACTGTGGTCTAGAAGCCACACACCTTGTATTTGGCATATTTCATGGCTATGTTCTTCTCTTTGCCTGCATGGCTCTCTGGTATCTTTTTTCAGGTCACATGGCATTTATACCGTCCTTGTTCCATATGGACAACGGACAAGGAAGAAGGTTCCAAGAAAGCCATATCACTCTGGCTATACGGTACTTTGGTTTCCTATTTTGCTATCTGATGTTCTGCCTTATAATACAGTATATGACAAGTGTCCTGGTTCCTTGCAATAGTTTTTGATGCTGTCTTGCCCTTTGGTCCACAGGACACTCGGGAGTCATTAAAAAGAGTATTGCAAGTGTAAAGTACTGCTAACCAGATGAGGATCTCTGGCTAGTCATGAGTGTGACATTATTACACAGGTCACAATGTCTAACTTTACAGATCAATGTGTGGTGCTCAGTGGATCAGTAAACACTGATGAATCCATTAATCAGTGCCACCTTATCATTATGTGGTGTTACTGTCAGTGCCAAAACATTAATAATGTTTAAATGGCAATTATACTTTATAATATAATACTTGTTCCCTGTATGGATGGTCAGAAAGTGGAAAGTAATGAAGCTAATTCCATCCTTAACTTTAAAAATAAATTTGACAAAAGCAACAGAGAAGTAATTAGCACGCCAGGTATAAATGGCTAGGAGGTGGGGCATAAAAATCCTAGATCTCAATTCTGTGTAGTCACTGATAGATAAGCACTTGTATATATGGTATATACTTGTATATATGGTAGCCGAGGGCATGAAAGTAACCATGTGCGAGAAGCATACCTTAAGAGTGGTCCAGCGGTGGGACTTCTCCCTGCGGATGATCTCTTCCTCCAACATGGCCCTCTTGTTTTGTGATACGATCAGCTCCCTCTGGAGGCGTACCAACTCCACCTTGAGGGACTCTACGAGTTTCACATGGCGGGACAACACCTGTCTCTCATCTCTGTATCCACACAAGATGCCCATACCACAGGGGTCAGGTGCAGATGTAAATATTTCAAGGTGCTGCCCTCCTTACCCACTCACAAAAAAACACAGGCATTCTAATATACTCTCCAAAAATAATAGTAGTTCTGCCCGAAACGCTTTGCGTAATAGTGGCTTTAGGCATTGTATGTACTAGCTCCTATCTATAAAGCCAACAAACTTTGTAAAATCTCTTTATGTATGTACCTTTGCCTAAATAAAAATTATTATTATTATTATTATTATTATTATTATTATAGTACATTAGTAACTATTATGAACATCTACAGCAAACTGACTGATGAAGTAATCACACATTTTTTTTTTTTTTATGTTTACTATGAACTTCTTGATATACTGTACTAATATTATAGTTTAAACATTCCATCTCACTAGAACTCCATGCAGTATCAGGAGTTGGCAATTTAAACAATATGCCAGCAATTCATCTCTTGAAATACTGCATATTAGAAATGTCACCTTAAAGCGTTGACCTCATTGGTGAGTGTGTTTATGTCCTGTAGGCGGTTTATGTAGTCCTTGTTGCCCTTGTGGAGAACATGTTCCAGCAGCTTCACCCGCTCCCTCAGTGCCCACACCTCATCGTTACGTCTGGCCAGCTGTGTCGCCACCACACCTCGTCCAGCCTGCTCCTGTACCAGCACCACCAGGTCAGTTGGAGGACCACCACCACTGCAGGACAACTATTATCTTGGAGACAAGTTTTGAAAATAAGAAAGAGTAAAGCATTCACAACAGGCGGCTAGATGGTAGAGGGATGGTCTCGCTTCTTGCAGGTCAGCATTCAATTCCTGACCATTCAAGTGGTTGGGCACCTTTCCTTCTCCCCCCCCCCCATCCTATCCCATCCCAAATCCTTATCCTGACCCCTTCTAAGTGCTTCCAAGTCATAATAGCTTGGTACTTTCCCCTGAAAATTCCCTTCCCTTCACAACATGTGCATCATACCACTTAGCAGCCACTGACATCTCTGGGCTGCTTACCTTGCACTGATTGATTTCAGGGCTTAACGTCCCCGTGGCCTAGTCCTCGACCAGGTTTGCTAATGGGAATTCTTTGTATTAGTGCAAGCCAGGTGTCCTGGGATTAGAGTTAAGGGAGTGTGTGTAGGCTCAACAGTGACATACAAGAAGAGCAATGTAAAGTTTATACATGAGACTTGCTCCTTCAGTTTACAAATCTATCACTAACAGTAGCTGTTAATGCCTATGGTTTATTCATCTTAAAATTTTTAGATTAAATAAGCTAGAGTAGATTGTTCCACACAGATCAGATCATATAAAGTAGGGTAGATTTGGTTATAGTAATACTTATCCTGAATCTTTTCTACATTATTGTACCTTGGAAAGGAACCTTTCCCAAGGTACAGTTCAAAATGGACTATACAAAGTATTTACTATACAAATTGCATAGTATTTCTGTGATTATTAGACTACAGTATATTGATTTATATAGGAGATAACAGCCGAGACAAAATGCCTTCATGTTATCTCTAAAGAATGTCTTGTTGAATACTGAGTAAGATAGGCATAGACAAACCTCTTCCAGGTCCTTCTGGATGGCTTTCATGGCAGTATCTTGGTCATGAAGGATGTGGTTGAGACCCAGCTTCTCTCCCTCAGCGTACTGGATAGCCCGTTGCCTCTCCTTAGCCACACTCTGGGCTGCCTTCTCTGCTGCCCTTAGCTGCTCATGCTCATGCTCCATCACTGTCACCTCTGCCAGAGTAACCACATTGTTATTACCACCTACTGTCATGGGGCTGGCCTGCTTTCTTTTTGTTTTTCCTGCTCTATTTTTCAAGTCTGATACTAGCATTACACCAGAATTATTTGGAAAATAGCTTATAAGATAGATTGGAACACAATGAGTGGTTTTTAGTCACAAATATGTACAAAATCATTAGTACTGTAGCTACATCTGAAGATGCCTGGAATCAAATCCAGAGTCTCACACACTAAGTGAGCACTGCTACTGGCCTACATTCTCTCACCTCTATAGGTATTTGTGCTGTGAAATTTTATCTACTATACAGTACTTCAAATTGTCGTGTGCAGTAACTGGTTTCAGTTCCCACTGTCGCAGATAGGACACCCATTATGCTTATCGAGGTACCCATAGGCCAACATCTGTCCTTCCTTAAAATGCAGCCCACAACAGTTGCCTAACTCCCAGGTACCTATTTACTGCTAGGTGAACAGAGGCATCAGTTTGTTGTTGACTTGAGTGATAATTAAACGTTGTGTTAATTACAATAAGTATTAATAAATTCTACTTAATTTTTGCTCCTTTAGTCAATATTCAACAAATATGCAAGATATGCAATAGATGCAAGAGCACTAGTTAGAGGGATAGAAGCTTGAAAAGGGAAGATAATCAACAGAGGGTTGGGAAGGTCCCATGAACAAAAGATAAGGAGAGAGCGGAGATGGACAAACGTACAGACAGATCTGGGCACCACCAGCTACCCCCTTCTAGTAGAGATAGAGAGAGGAAGGAAAGGAGAAATAAATCTGAACAAATCTGGAATACATAATGCAAATTTTAAACTCGAAAGGATACTCAACAATGCATATAAACTAAAAGATCTGGAAGGGTATACCAGTTTACATCTCCTCCAGACCTCACAATAGAACAGAAGAGAGGAAAAAAAAGGAGACATAGTACTAAGAGAAACTAAAGAAGTTAAACACAGAACAGTACAAAGATTCAAAGCAAGATCAGGATAAGGCAGGTGATCATGATAATAGATGGAGGAGAGCATGTACAGTAGTCCTCCACCTAGCTAGGCAGAACTAACCCTATATATATATCAGATGATAGGCAGGATATCAGGAGTTTAAGTTCTTTCTATGCATATGCCAGAAGTCTAGTACAGTACCTGTAAATAAATTTGATGGATTGTAATTACCCGATTGTAATTACCTAAGTGTAGTTACAGGATGAGAGCTACGCTCGTGGTGTCCCGTCTTCCCAGCACTCTGTCATATAACGCTTTGAAACTACTGACGGTCTTGGCCTCCACCACCTTCTCCCCTAACTTGTTCCAACCGTCTACCACTCTGTTTGCGAAAGTGAATTTTCTTATATTTCTTCGGCATCTGTGTTTAGCTAGTTTAAATCTATGACCTCTTGTTCTTAAAAGTTCCAGACCTCAGGAAATCTTCCCTATCGATTTTATCAATTCCTGTTACTATTTTGTATGTAGTGATCATATCACCTCTTTTTCTTCTGTCTTCTAGTTTTGGCATATTTAATACCTCTAACCTCTCCTCGTAGCTCTTGCCCTTCAGTTCTGAGAGCCACTTAGTAGCATGTCTTTGCACCTTTTCCAGTTTGTTGATGTGCTTCTTAAGATATAGGCACCACACAACCGCTGCATATTCTAGCTTTGGCCTAACAAAAGTCGTGAACAATTTCTTTAGTATATCGCCATCCATGTATTTAAAAGCAATTCTGAAGTTAGAAAGCGTGGCATAGGCTCCTCGCACAATATTCTTTATGTGGTCCTCAGGCGATAGTTTTCTATCTAGAACCACCCCTAGATCTTTCTTTATCAGAATTCTTTAAAGATTTCTCACATAATATATAGGTTGTGTGGGGTCTATGTTCTCCTATTCCACGTTCCATAACATGGCATTTATTCACATTAAATTCCATTTGCCAAGTGGTGCTCCATATACTTATTTTGTCCAGGTCATCTTGAAGGGCATGACAATCATCTAAGTTTCTTATCCTTCCTATTATTTTAGCATCATCAGCAAACATTGTGTGCATACATGAAAGCTAAGAATTAAAATATCATTGGCATCAATGAAACATGGGAACAAGAGGATATAATTGAAAGGGAATTCCATCCTCCTGGATACCATCCATCATTCAGAAAGGACATAAGTGCAGGTGGGAGCTATGCTATACATAAAAAGAGGACTTGAATGCAATCAACATACTACCTGGAAATGGAAGCAAACTGACAGTAGAAATATGCTATAGGGCTGACATGACAACATCAGTAGTTGCTGATCTGCTTAATGTTACCAGGGTGGCATCACAAACCCAAACCCTCATAATGGAGGTCTTCAACCATGAGACAACTGACTGGGTAAATCTAACATCACAAGTATGAGAACAATTTCTTGACCAGGTACAGGACTCCTTTCTCACACAGCATGTGTCAAGAGCCCCAAAAGCCAACAACAATCATTCCAAAACAAAGTTGACCAGGAAATGTTGAGGGCCGCAGGATTAACAACACTGCAAACCAGACATGGTAGGGCTGATCTTATTGAAACTTTTAAATAAATAAATATAAATAAATAATTTTTTATTCGGGTAAGTTACATACATACAAGGTAAGATACAAAAGTTGATGGATTTATAGATAGAGCTAGTACATACAATGCCTAAAGCCACTATTACGCAAAGCATTTCAGGCAGACTGAACTTTAAAATACTGAACAATTTACATACTGATCCAAGACAACTTGAAAAGAGCAGATGTAACACAAACAAGGAGCAAGCTCAACAAGCCACAATGTAGGACAGAAAGCAGGAGATGCTTTTCACCCATAGAGTTACAAACCCATAGTAACTACAGTACCAGCTATGGTAGCAGTAGTCTACCTGCCAAAGCTGTAAATACCAAAACACTGCTGAATTTTATAATCCAGCTGGGAAAAAATCAGCACAAATGGGAGAACCTTTGACAAGGCTTCAGCTCTCGTTGAGACCACTAGAGAAATAGTGACCTTTGGGTAAATTCGGGTAAACATACCTGGGCACTTTTGGGTACCCCATCTAATATATCAATATGAGAAAATCCTTATAATTTTTGTCTTTTTTTATTCCTAGCTATCCAAATATAAATTAAAACCAAGCTATTGACATCTTTTTAAGTCATACTGGTCCCTATTAAGATGATGTTTTGACAGTGTGGGGGATGGGGAGCCATATTGAGTAATAGAATGGGGTCTGTAACCATAAAAAAAGGTTAAGAACCCCCTACCCTAGATAAACTAGGCAATGTTAGGCTACCTTACCTTACCGCCAACTATGGTTACCTTGAGGTAGTTAGAGATAAATGATCTCGTGAACCAGTCCCCGACCAGCAGGCCTCCTCGATGACCAGAATGGGAACTATGACATTTCACAAGTACTGGTAATTTTGACACTGCATAGCAAGTTAATGGTAATAAGTGATGCTGCATCACCATTAACTAACCTATCCTCACACTTTATGCACCACAATAAGTGGGTTGCCAAAGTTCGTATGCTTCTAACGAGGCAAAAACCACTTCACATTTGATACTTATCAAATTGCGAGAATGGATTGTTGATTGAGACTATTCGAGTAACATTCCCATAATGACTACGGCTTCTCTAGGTACTCACCTGATGTGATTTTCTGAAGATCGCTGTCACGGGCATCAAGATTCCGTTGTAGTTTGTTGACGAGGTAGCCCGCTTTCCGTGCTTCCTCCATCACCTCCTCCTTCTCTGTCTATATAAGTAATGCAGAAGCTGGTGATTGATTGATTGATGAAGATTAAGCCACCCAAAAGGTGGCACGGGCATGAATAGCCCGTAAGTGGTGGCCCTTTGGAGCCATTACCAGTATCAACAGCTGATACTGGAGAGCTGTGGAGGTGCGACTGCACCCTACGGAGAGGTCGTGGCCTCTGAAGAGCTGGTGTTAGGTTAGATCAATTATAACAAGCCAGAGATATTTAAGAAACATGAAATCATATAACCTCGACATATGTAAATTAGATGAGGGCTCGTACCTACTTCTCAGCCTTTACTTTGTGTAGATAATGTCAGATGATAATAAGGAGAAATCATAAAGCATGTACGACTATAAAATACTTGGAATGAATATACATTTTATTATTATTTGTTTATCTATTTATATACAAGAAGGTACATTGGGTTTGTGAGAGTACATAACATTGGTAGTATTACATTCTTGCAAAGCCACTAACATGCATAGCGTTTCAAGCACGCACTTTAATAAGCAGTACAGCAGTTACATAATAAGCAGTTACGTAAGTACAGTACTTACAAACCTGCACATCTTTTCTCAATCTTTGGAGGCTTTGTTTACATTTATTAAACGGTTTATGAGCTCCGATACAGAGGCTCGATCTAGCTTAAGAGACTATTTACAACAATAATAACATTTGATTGGGAATTTTCGACGTTGGTAAACCGTTTAAAAAATGTAATCAGATCAGTCAAAAATCGAGAAAAGATGTTTACCCGAGGGCCACTAACTCGAGTGGCCTCGACGAGGACAGGGAGCTTGCGGCTTGTCAAAAGTCCCCCTATTTGCTTTGATAATCTTTTCCGGTTTGATTCTGAAATTCAACAGTCTTTGCATTTACGTCTTTGGCGGGTAGGCGATTCCATGGGTTTATAACCCTGTGGGTGAAAAAGCATTTCCTGTTCTCAGTCCTGCATTGTGGCTTGTCGAGCTTGAAACCATTGCTCCTTGTTTGTGTTACATCTGACCTTTTGAAGAAATTTTCCAGATCAACATCCATCAAATTGTTCAGTATTTTAAGTTTCAATGAGATCTGCCCTGTCATGCCTGGTTTGCTGTATTGTTAGTCCTGTGGGCCTTAACCGTTCCTGATAGAGTTGACTTAGCTCTGGAATGATTTTTGTTGCCCGGTGTTGCACTTTCTCCAGAGTAGCTATGGCCTTCTGAAGATGGGAGTCTCCATGCTTGGATACAGTAATCCAAACGGAGCCGCACCAGAGATTTACACAACTGAATCATCATCTTCCTCTCCTTTCTGTCAAAAGTACGCTCCAAGTACGCTGGTGCTTCTACTTGGTGTGCAACTTTCAGCGAGTGGTGGATTCCAACTCCAAGGTCCTTTTCTTCACCAGTCAGTAATGGAATGTTATTAATTTGGTAGTGGTGGCCTGGGTTGCTGTGCTCTACATACAAGGTCTTGCATTTGTCAATATTAAAAAGCATTTGCCAGTCTTCTGATCATTTGTGGAGTTCACGTAGATCTCTTTGTAGGGCTCCAATATCATTATTATTTCCTACTTTACCATATATCTTTATTTCATCTGCAAATTTGATGCTGTGGTTTGCAATACAGGTATTCTCATCTATGTCATTGATGTAAATGACAAAGATTGGCCCCAAATTGGACTTTTGAGGTACCCCACTTACCACATTTCTCCAGTCAGATTCGGACCCATTTAATACCACCCTTTGTTTTCCTTGTTTCAGCCATTGTTTTATCCATCCCAGTATTCTACCATTTATTCCACGAGCCTGTAATTTCCTTGCCACTCTTTCATGTAGTACCGTATCAAAGGCTTTAGCAAAATCCATGTATACTACATCCACTGGAAGTCCCTTGTCTGTGTAGCTGATTACCATTTCCAAAAACGTGTGTAGGTTTGTAAGACAGGATCTATTTTTAACAAACCCATGTGACGATTTTACAAGATTGTTCACTGAAAGATGGTGAGTGATGCTCTCCATTAGAATCATAATCTCCATTATGATTCTCTCCATTAATCATAATCTCTATTAGATTATCATTAGTGTGATGTCATTCAGATTGGACGGTAATTTTCTGCCGATTTCTTTCTGCCTTTTTTGAAAATAGGGGTGACATTTGCATATTTCCAATCTAGGGGGACTATTCCTTGATCCAGAGATTTTGTGAAAAGTAATTTCAGCAGTAGGCTTAGTTCTTCTGCCAGTTCCTTTATAACTTTGGATTGGATTCCATCCACACCTGGGAATTTTGAGTCCTAGCTTATCAATGTTCTTCCGAATTATATCTCATGTTATGAGTATATCCCTAAATTCATTCTCTTCACCGCCTTCAAACATTTGTGTGGGAGATGGGATGTCTTGTAACCGTTCTAGAGTGAACACTAATGTAAAATATGCATTCAGAGTGTTTGCCATTTTATCGTCCATTTTAAGATGTATATAGGAGAAGATGCACATATGTTCGCTAGTAGATACACAAATGCTCGTTGAATCATGGATTCAAGTAGAAAATATATCAGACTGACTTTCACAGATGAAATAGATAAGGGACCAGATTAAACATTACCATGGTTGATATTTTAATCAAAGTTTAGTAATACATATTTTGACAAATAACTCTGTCAATATTTTTTGGAGGGCAATGCAACCATTAATAAAGTTTTTTGGGAAATATTAATTAAGACCGACATGCTCAAGTCAGCATTTTATGAAATATCTTTATAATATATACAAGTATACATATATATTGTATATATATGTATATATATAGTGTAGTATAAATATGTATGCATATGCAACAATGATCACAAAAACACTGATCCAAGTATGCAGAATAACCACATGTGAAAAATAGAAAATGCTTAACGCGTTTTCGGCTAATTCGCCTTCATCAGAGCAAAGTAGAATGCTGACATTCTGAATGAATGAATGACATTCTACTTTGCTCTGATGAAGGCGAATTAGCCGAAAACGCGTTAAGCATTTTCTATTTTTCACATGTGGTTATTCTGCATGTATGCATATATTGTATATATACATACATATTTATAATATATACAAGTGTTCAAGTATGTTTATTGAGACAAGAAAGAAATACATCTCAAAGGGATAGAGTAGCTTAGGCTATTTCTACCCCCCCCCCCCCACTCACCTTAATATTCCTCAGCTGTCTGCCAAGGATAAAGTTGTCGGTTTTGAGAGCATGAGCGAGGGTGGAGGCCTGGTGTAGGTGCGCCTCAGTGACCACCTGGGTGTGGACGACCCGCTGCAGCTCCCTCCCCCGGGTCTCCACCTCCCCCGCCAGCTCCACCACCTGTGTCTCCACACGGGACGTCTCCTCCATCTGTCTGCCAGGGTACACAGTTATCTTGAGATGATTTCGGGGCTTTTTTTAGTGTCCCCGCAGCCCGTGACAGTTGACTAACACCCAGGTACCTATTTACTGCTAGGTAACAGGGGCATAGAGTGAAAGAAACTCTGCCCATTGTTTCTCGCCGGCGCCTGGGATCGAACCCAGGACCACAGGATCACAGTCCCGCGTGCTGTCCTCTCGGCCGACCGGCTCCCTGTACCTCAAACCCTCAGTATACCCTCACAGTGTACCTCAGCCCTCAGTAGTCAAATTAGCAGTGCAGTTCGTGTATATGCACTCATGCAAGACTTTATCCATGACCTGTTTAATTTAGAATATTTATGCAATCAATACTTATTTGGTTGCTTAGTGTTTAGTAGCAGTGGGTCCGTTTTATTATTCAGCTCCTTATTTTTGTCTAATTTCGTTATAAAATTATACTTTTTCAGAGTAAAAATATGCTTTTTCCATGTTCTACATTTAGCACCAACATTATAATTAGTAAATATATCATACTGGGTCATTTATTCATTATTAACGTAATGCCCGGAGGCTTTGGGTAATTAGATGAACCGGTAGCATGTTATGACCAGGGTGGTCTTGGATAGTGGAACATGATACATTGCAAACAGATAAAGAATACATGTTGAGTCTGGGAGCAGTTGACCCCAGTTGAACAGGAGATGCTTTGTTACCCACAGGGTAATAAACCCATGGAATCGACTTTCCGCCGAAGCCGGAAATGCCAAGGCTTTTAAATTTCAAAATCAAAATGGAAAACATTATCAATACAAATGGGGGGAACCTTCGACAAGTCGCTGGCTTCCTGTCCTCGTCGAGGCCCTCAGGTAAATGAAGTAAAAACAAGCAACAAGGAGGAACATCCTCAAGTAGCACAATCGAATCTTAGGATCTTAGGATCCTAAGATCCGATTAGAACTGAGTGAGGATCTTAGCACCCCGCTAAGATCCTCACTCAGTTCCGGCACCACAAGCAACACGTCCGACTTGTGTCATCTGTTCCATGACCCAGTCAGCTCCTTTGGCAATTCTTTACCCATCTCCTTTCACACACAAAACTGTCGCTGTTGTTTCTGGGCTGTCACCCCCTGTTGCAATGCTAAACTATCCGTGCTGATCGGCTCTGACGTCTAGCAGAACCTCGGGGATCTGCCTCACCAGTGCACAGAGTGCATTCAGCATATTCCAGGGCAGACAGCCTACGCACAGCGAGAAAGCTTGCTAGGGTAGTATCATATCACCCCACGGCCAGGCGCTGGACTACCAGCCTGACCTCTGCTACTACCACCGGTCGTACATAAACCATCTTACCTCGAGGTGCTTCCGGGGCTTAGCGTCCCCGCGGTCTGGTCGTCGACCAAGCTTCCTACCAGACCACATCCACAACTGCCACATGGCATGTTTCTTGTTGGAAAACTGCGCCAACGGAGCCCATTAACAGCCAGAATCTCGTCACGTTAGAGACTACAGTATATCTGTTCATCCTGACCTCCCGTCCAAATGTCGTTTCTTCAATGATACGGGTGTGGGCGATAGCGAGTTGTCGGTTCCACCAGATCACCACCAACGGAACAACAGTCCTCACTTATAGGACCTATGCATTGGACATCGACCTCGCCTGCCACTGACGCTCTCAGTAAACCTTCCTGAGCTGCGTTGTCCAGTTTGACTTTCCCTCCATCATCGTCGCCAACCAGGGATGCCAGTTACCTGGTTGATGGGGTTCTGGGAGTTCTTCTACTCCCCAAGCCCGGCCCGAGGCCAGGCTTGACTTGTGAGAGTCTGGTACACCAGGCTGTTGCTTGGAGCGGCCCGCAGGCCCACATACCCACCACAGCCCGGCTGATCCGGAACTTCTCTTAGAAAACAGTCCAGTTTTCCTTTGAAGATGTCCACGGTTGTTCCGGCAATATTTCTTATGCTCGCTGGGAGGACGTTGAACAACCGTGGACCTCTGATGTTTATACAGTGTTCTCTGATTGTGCCTATGGCACCTCTGCTCTTCACTGGTTCTATTCTGCATTTTCTTCCATATCGTTCACTCCAGTACGTTGTTATTTTACTGTGTAGATTTGGGACCTGTCCCTCCAGTATTTTCCAGGTGTATATTATTTGGTATCTCTCTCGTCTCCTTTCTAGTGAGTACATTTGGAGAGCTTTGAGACGATCCCAATAATTTAGGTGTTTTATCTCGTCTATGCAAGTTCAAGTCTCGCCTGTAGGACCTCTTGCAGTTCTTTGGCGCCACCGACAACTGGACTATGGAATACTGCCATTACCAACTCAAGTTCGCCCTCCATGCCCAGTCATACCCCGAAGCCTGGACTCTCTGCAGTAGACCTCTCACATAGAACCGACCTGCAGCTCCCGGGTGAACTCACTCCAGCGCATTGCTTGCATCGATGGACCCCACCACGCTCCTCCATCACCTTCGAACAGCCATGGCAGGAGTCTGCACCACACCACCATGCCATCCTATCAACCTGTCCTACTAAGGTTTTTCAACATCAAGAAAACAGTCAATGTAAAGTGTCCTCTCCTAACCTACCAGAGGACCTAAAACAGAAAATGGGACAATGCGTCGCTTTCGCCAGCCGCTTGCATTTTCTAGTACAACAACTTTTGGCCATATGTAACGCATACGACCGAAAAGCGACGGTCTTTGTAGGAGAACAGGTTTTCCCTATAACACGCCACAGTCACCTTACAAGGGCCTCTTACGAATGGTCTGTACGCCAAAGTTGTTTACGATATCGAATACCATGGCCACCAGGAGAAAAGAACACCATCATCCACGTGATGGCAGCACACTAGGTTGCCGCCCCAGATAACATGCCTGCAACGACAACCATAGTTTATTTCTACCCAGAAGTATCTACACCGTCGCCCCTGCTCAGCCAGCACACATGTCCTCACCTGCATCGCCCCGCTGCCTATGCTAGACACTCAGACACGCTTCAAAGTACCTCTCAGTACCTCCACCTATGCCAGCTATCCGGTGTTTACACCCAGCCGCCTCGTCTCTAGCTAGACGATACAAGCTAGCTGATTGGTTGACATTGCAACATCACAGGACTGGACGACGGCCAATAAGCGATAATCCCACCACCAATGACTCCTAACTAATGCTAGCCCCTTGCTCTCTGTTTTCGCAATGACTTTTAATTAAAACGAAGAAGGTAAGCTTACCTGTCTCTGACGTGCTGAAGTGCGGTGATAAGTCCGTCCTGCTTCACAAGGTCTCGGTGTGCTCGACTCAGCTCTCGCTCAACACTCTGGCGCTCCAGCTCCCTGATGTGGATCAACCCGGCGTGCTTCTGTACCGTACCTACGGCAACACCCCACAATAACAAGTTCAACAGCCCGTCCTCATAACCATTGATACTACATTCCTAAATCCAGTAGTTACCCCCCTCATATGTTTATGAATGAAAACTACTTTACACAAAGATTAAAAAACATTATGATCGAACAGTGCTTTGTTTACTTCCTGTGTTTGAGTCGTAGCTCTGCCAACGGCCCATCCTCAAACGATAACCATATGTTTGTTATATAGATTCTTAGCACCAGCTCCCAATTCACTCGCGTACTACAAATACAAATAATTTTCAAGAGAACAAGAGCTTACCAACAACCCCAGCACTTACAACCAATCCCAGCCCCTACCAGCAACCCCAGCACCCCCAGCACTTAACAGCACCCCAGCACTTACCAGCACCCCCAGCACCTACCAGCACCCCCCAGCACCTACCAGCACCCCCAGCACCTACCAGCACCCCCCAGCACCTATCTTGAGGTTATCTTGAGATGATTTCGGGGCTTTAGTGTCCCCGCGGCCCGGTCCTCGACCAGGCCTCCACCCCCAGGAAGCAGCCCGTGACAGCTGACTAACACCCAGGTACCTATTTACTGCTAGGTAACAGGGGCATTCAGGGTGAAAGAAACTTTGCCCATTTGTTTCTGCCTCGTGCGGGAATCGAACCCGCGCCACAGAATTACGAGTCCTGCGCGCTATCCACCAGGCTACGAGGCCCTGATCCTACCAGCAACCCCCAGCACTTACCAGCACCCCCAGCACCTACCAGCAACCCCCAGCACTTACCAGCACCCCCAGCACCTACCAGCACCCCCCAGCACCTACCAGCACCCCCAGCACCTACCAGCACCCCCAGCACCTACTAGCACCCCCAGCACCTACCAGCACCCCCAGCACCTACCAAGGGTCTTGACGTAGGTGCGATGTAACACATCTCTCTCTCTCTTGAGCTTGTCCGCCTGCCTCGCCGCCTTCTGCCTCTGATGCTCCTCCGTCACCGCCTGCTTCTCCACCACCTGTTGTAAATGGTTGGGAACCAAACACTCCGGTTAAAACATTAACCAAACACTCCAGTTAATACGTAAACACCTCATTAACATGTATATATGAAAGAGGATAAATCTGAGATCCGGACGTGTGATGAATTATATCAAAATGGTGGAAACTGTTCTATTTATGAGCAGAATATTATTGTGCCCATTCCAAAATAAACAAGAGGAAGGAAGATCCTCCGAGGCCTTGGTTATGTCTATGATTCAAAGGTCCAATATGTTCTGTGTACCGGGTCACATATTGTCCTATCCGGCCTTGAGTAATGACACCTTTAGCCGAATTATCGTCCAGGTATGAAGGGGGTGAGAGTAATTTATATAAGACTGCAGGAATTAGCCTGTGGAACCGTACCTTCAGCTGGCTACGGATGTTCTTAAACTGGACTTCCACGTCGGCTCGACGCTGTTCCTGCCGCCTCACCGTTTTCTCCAGCTGTTCGTACTGGCGCCTGACTGACGCCGCTTCCTTCTGTAGCCTCATCATGTCCTCCTCCTTCACCTGTTTCGTCGCAAGTTGGAAGATAATGGGACATTCACTGTATATCCGCAAAACCCTGGTGATCGCGGATTACATCTTGCACATTTTGCCATTAATACCTTCCTGGCTGCATGAATCCTTTTCTAAATCCCAGAACCCATTCCTTACTTCTTCCCGAGTCTCTTCTGTTCTACCCGACTCCATTACTTAATCTCTATACTCTGACTATACTACATTACTTTCCCCAAGCCCATTATTGACTCAAAACAGCTCTTTACATCCTAAATAACTTCTTTACTTTCTGAATATCTTCTTGAATCTCTTTATTCCAAAATCTCTTCTTGTTCCCTTAATTTCCCTGAATCTCTACTCTAATTCTTAAATCTCAACCAAGTATTTGGTTTCGTTTCCAACAGTCGGAGACAGAAACCTTATATTAGGCTAATCGAGGGTCCTCTAGAGCCTATAGGCCAACTACTGACGCTTTCCACGATGCTACCAACACTATTGTCCCAACTCAAGGCTACCCTACATACTGCTAGGTGTACAGAGGCAGCAGGTGATGGCAAACGTTGCCCAAACGTTTCTGTCCTACCGCGGATATTGAACCCGGGACCTTTCGGCAGTAACCTGACTGCGGAACCCTTTCATTGTGTACCTTCTCCACTGTACACTGAATAAATCCTAATTAATTTAAAAAAATAAACGTTTCTTGCTTTACTGAGTTCCCCTCTCCGTTTACTTCACTCTCTTATCTCTCACTTTCACTTCTCTCTCTTCACTTTCATGCCCCCTACTTTCTCTCACATGTTCCTCTCTTCTACACTGTCCTCCTCTCTTCCCTCTTCACCTTGACGATGTTGGCGGAGTCCCTGTAGGCGGCCTCAACTCTCGCCAGGATCCGAGCGCGACCCTGAGCGTCCTTCTTCAGCCTCGCCACCTCCTCCTTCCCTTCCTCCAGCAGCCGCGCCATGTTCTCCCGCTCCTCCTAGACCGTCACACAACAAATATTATGAGTTAATAATTCATCATAATATGAATTATTATGAGCCTATACTGCCTCTCTGGATACGGGGAAAGAACAGGTATAAGGACATCCCGCTAGCGTCGGGGAGGACGTGTGACGGGTGAACTGTGGCCAGTGTGTGACGGGTGAACTGTGGCTAGTGTGTGACGGGTGAACTGTGGCCAGTGTGTGACGGGTGAACTGTGGCCAGTGTGTGACGGGTGAACTGTGGCCAGTGTGTGACGGGTGAACTGTGGCCAGTGTGTGACAGGTGAACTGTGGCCAGTGTGTGACAGGTGAACTGTGGCTAGTGTGTGACGGGTGAACTGTGACAAGTTACAGGTATCAGGGATGTATGTCAGCTGTAATATCTTTTGAATTCGTCAAACCACAAAGAGTTACTGCCCCACCTTGCTTAACATATTAATGAATAGAGGTAGTATCCGAGATCCATAATCCTATTGGGGTAACTAGGTAGAGTAGGTAGATAACCCCGTATCTACCTATCTACCTGGCTTTGCGCCCTGGAGAGGCAACTCCATTCTGACAACCAGAGCGCAACTCCATAGTCTCCTGAGACTGATGGATGCCTACTATTAATTATATATGCAAATGATAGTCTGTATCAAAGTAAAGATATATTAAATATTCATACGGTGTTGATAAGGCTCGAAAATCTGTCACCGTACGGGATTGGTAGTTAGTGAAGACAAAACTAAGTTTGAATGTAGAAATCGGAAGCCTATTTATTACATTAGAAATAAGTACCAAAAATATAGAAAGAGGAAAAATATATAAATATCTAGAAACATATTTTTGGATATACACATGAAAGTTTGGAGGCCGAGTTGAACCGACTGTTGGGACAATTTCGGAAGACATGACAATCTTTGGCAGCCTTGGCATGTTGTGGAAAGTGAGTGAATGTCCCTGAGATACTCATGATAGTAATAAGTTATGAGATCTTGATTCAACTCGCCCTTTTATAAATTACGTCGCTTTTCGCGTGTATGCGCTACGGCCCAGAAAACGGTCGTAATTTGAAAATGAAAAATAATTGAAAATAAATTTGGGATTTTTTTTCCCAAAACAGCAAGTTAAGGGTTCTCTGGTAGGTTAGGAGGGCAGGAAGTTCTCCTAAGGTTTCAAAATGTCAAGAAAACGCTCAATGTAAAGTATCCTCTCCTAACCCAGCAGAGGACTCAAAACGGGACAGTATGTCACTTTCACCAGCCGATTCCATTTGGAATTACGTCCTTTTTTTTTAGCCTGAGTGCGCATACGAGCGAAAAACGACGTTATTTGTAAGGAGACGGGTTGGTTGATTATGCTGCACCAGTCATTTCTTGTTTTGGTAAAGTAAGACCAAACAATCTGGAGAAAGTACAAAACGAAGCCTATAATAATTTAAGGATAGCCAAGAAATGCTATGACCGGAAATGCGGATGGAATTGTACTTACAGTTTTTTTTGGGATAGAGTTTTTAAGGTTAATGCTGGGATTAGGCTAATGAGAGGTGTGGGAGCTAATGAAGTAATCCATCCATTACAAAAGTTGGGAAGAAATTAACAATTTAAGGTAAAACAAGAGAAGATATGGGAGAACTTGACTTTATAATGTTACATGTGATCAGTGTTTTGTGATCGTCAGTTGCATAATGTTACAAAATATGATGTCTTGCAAGAATTTATTTTATTACCTAAGAAACAACACCATCATGGGAGGAATGTCCTCTGCAAAAAGAACAAAAAAAGAATATGTACGAGGACATTTGATGACAATATATGATTGTATAAATAAAATTAAAAATTCAACATGTTTATTGTAGATGGCTCGATAGTTGTATGGATACCATCACACATAATTAACCCATCATAATGACACAGACATTGCAGCCAAATTAGCGTGTAACAAAGATGAAGTTGAATTAGACCTAGGTATCCCCCATCTCTGCTGTCAAGACTATATTGTTCCAAACACTCAGGTCTGATAGGAAAGAAATTACTGACTCCCATCGACCTGAGAGCACTAGTATAAAAAGCTATGATTTGTTCAGATCTGAAACCTATATTTATGTGCAGCACAAAACATGCACCAGACTGTATTCACCTAGTTGTGTTTGCGGGGGTTGAGCTTTGCTCTTTCGGCCCGCCTCTCAACTGCCAATTAACTGTTAACTAACTGTGAGACACAGTGGTTGCCAGTATCAGGTGGGGTTACCGTTACCTGTGGCAGGTGGCTACAGGTGACGGATCTCCTAATCCTGAGCATTCCAGGTGCAAACTCTGTGAGCAGGAACTGCGGCATGATCTCCCACACTACATCACCGAATGCCCAGTTATGAGACCATTCAAACCCGTTGGCACGAGGTACCTGGAGCTTTGCAATTACTTTATTCACTCTCGTGTTCTTGGGGATATCCTCATAATGCACCCAAAATTTGCCAGTGCAGGCTACTGAACATATCCCCCTGTATGACTAACCTTCCGACAAGATGGGGACTTTTAGTACCACTGCTACCTTAGTCACTCTTGTGTTGATGATATCCTCATAATGTACCCGGAGTTTGCCAGTGCAGACTACTTATCACATGGCCCTGTATGACTAACCATCCTGTGTGATGGGGATTTTTAGCATCAGGTAACTAGTTTTTTTACACACTTTGTACTCCCCTTCAGCTAGGGTAGCTGCACAAATATAGATGTACCTAAATGTGTTAATTAAAAATATAAACAAAAAAACTAAAAACGGAAAGGCAGGATATGGAGTCTGATTAGGAAGTGCAGGACTTGGCAACGGTCAAGGACGGACCGAAACGTTGTTGTTTCTTCGTTTTCAGATGTGTGGGTTGGATATCAACTCTTGAGCCTCGTTATTGTGATTCATCGTCAGCACTGCCAGCGCTGTGCCATCCTCGAGAACGTCACTTCATCGGTGAATATTCTTCAGTTGACTCGAATATTGAATATATTTTCTCAGTAAATATATACTCGTAAAGGTTTTGATACACAGTTTGCTCAATCTTCACCCTATTAAAAATACCATATTAAAGGTGCAAATGTGCAGTCAGTGCAATGTTGATGTTGGCTGAGTGCCTGTGATGTAATTTCCCTGTCCTATGAAGTCAAAAGTCATAGAAGCTATGCTTCTATGACTTTTTTTTTTTAGGTCAGGTGAGGAAACTAACAACTTACCTACACGCACCCTCATCTATACTACAAATAGTGTAACAGATCTTTGATCAGACTCAAGTTATCACAATTCAAGCCTGGCCCCTGGCTAGGCTTGGGGAGTAGATGAACTCAGAACCCATTCTAGGTATACTCCAGATATTCAAGCTTTAGAATGAGCTGATGTAGGATGACAGCTCATTGCTTGTAGCATTCATTTTGGAACACCAATATTAATCCGTAAGACGTTAGGGGATAGAGAGGGAGGGGCCAGACCACTATACCTTCTGCATATCGAGGGTCTTAGTCTTCTCCTCGACGAGGGCGTGCAGATTTCTGACGAAGGTCTGCAGGTTGGTCATCTCCTTCTCTAAGCTTGCAGCTGCTTCGTATTGGGCCCTCAGTTCGCCCTCCAACCACTCCCGCTCTCGCTGCTCCTTTTCCACATTCTCCGTCAGCACTTGATTCTCCCTGCGGCACCAAGACTCATATTGCACAGAGGCACAACGATATACAAGTTAACTAAGGATAACCAGGAGAAAAGGATAAGTAAACTGAAATCATCGTCACCAAGTGGCCATGGGGACCCGGCCCTCATCACCATAGGCGCACCTGGTGAGAGTATCGATGCGACGCTCGAGGTCCTTGCGAGCCATGAGGGCCTGTGCCCTGGGCACCGAGGTTGCCAACTGCTGAGTCAGCGCTGTGATCTCCTCCAGCGCCGCCGCCGTCTCCGCCCGCGATGCTCGCAGCTCCTCCTCCAGCTCCTCCACCGTCACGCTGCCCAGGAATCACACGCATGGTTACCTTCATGCTAAACATCACAGTACCCACCAAATAACTGTTGATGAGTCCAATTTGACACTAATTTAGACGTTCATTTATTCAGAAGGATCTCTGTGGAGTGCAATAATTTCTCGATTTAACTTGTAAATAAAATATAACAACAATAATTGATGGTATCTCTATTCGTGATCATTATATAACTAGTTAATAACATACGAGCTTCGAAATCATGAACCAAGATTGTTATTGGCTGTTTGTAATTATTTGTAAATTCTTGTAAATCCTTAAAGTGAAACAAGATTTGAGGAGTATCCTACACTTCTTCTCCCTCTGCAGCCTGCGGCGTGGAGACAGATACTGACGCCTCGTCCTGCTGCGCCGGGTCCTCTGACCCCACCTCCTGCTGGGGAAACACCTCAAAACAGTATTATTGTTCAGATTGATTAATGAAGATTAAACCACCCAAAAGGTGGCACGGGTATGAATAGCCAGTAAGTGGTGGCGCTTTTGAGCCATTACCAGTATCAATAATAATAATAATAATAATGAGAAAATCTGTAGGAGTCATGAGGAAGATTCGAGCCTACATACTGGGTACTCCCAAGCATACGCCTTAAACCATGGGCGTAGGCTTGGGAGTACGTAATGGGCAGGTTCGAATCCTTCTCGTGGCTCATACTGATTTTCTCATTGATTCATCACTTCAATGTGATTTCAAAAATCACAAAAATTAATGTGATTTCAATAATCACGAAGATTAACGTGATTTCAATAATCACGAAGATTAACGTGATTTCAATAATAATAGTGCATACGATAAAATTTTTGACATGTTATTTGGATGAGTTTGTTTTATTGTTATTCCATATGTCCGACGCCAGCCGCTAGCCTCGCTCTACTTATTTTGGGATGACACATTGTTGATAGTTCGCTGTTACAAGCAGGTCGGGGTTGGTCCCAGTGCTCTTCTACAGGATTGGGTCCTATTGCGACTTCTATGAAGTCTGAAATCAGGGTTTCATTTTCGAAAGTGTTTTTTCAGCTGTTCATCACACACAGCGTAACCACAGGAGCAGACAGCTGATTTACAGGTTGACACAGCTGGGAGCAATGTCAATAAAGAATGAGAAATTGCTAATCACCTTAACATCAGGACCATATAGCACATGCGAATAATAAGAATATAGTTTATACCATTGATGACAAATATAACAAGTGATCGTGACACATAAACGCTCTCGCGTGGGATTAAATCTAGTAATAAATACTGTTTCTTACCATTGCCGTGTCTGCCATATTGTCACACCTCCCAGCTGTTACCGTAGCTTCCCAGACAAGACGCCCACATTGTCTTACGCGTCCATGCTGCAGGTGTCTTGCATGCTAAGTGACCCGCAGCAGCTGTGTGCATGTTGTGGGCGTCCAGCGTCTCTGTAACCACGGCGACCACCGCCCCCATGGGCGCCGGCGCACTCACGCCATGGCAGGTGGCTCCTGTTTCAAACGTAATGAATGAGCTGCATAAGCGTTCGTGTTATGTAATGTCTACTTTCATTGCTTTCTGTACTGGCCACTTCCTGTAATGGAGCAGTTGTGGACAGCTTTGTTCTTGTTGACACTGGTGGGTGGTGGATGATATGTTTGTTGACACTAGTGGGTGGTGGATGATATGTTTGTTGACACTAGTGGGAGGTGGATGATATGTTTGTTGACACTAGTGGGTGGTGGATGATATGTTTGTTGACACTAGTGGGTGGTGGATGATATGTTTGTTGACACTAGTGGGTGGTGGATGATATGTTTGTTGACACTAGTGGGTGGTGGATGATATGTTTGTTGACACTAGTGGGTGGTGGATGATATGTTTGTTGACACTAGTGGGTGGTGGATGATATGTTTGTTGACACTAGTGGGTGGTGGATGATATGTTTGTTGACACTAGTGGGTGGTGGATGATATGTTTGTTGACACTAGTGGGTGGTGGATGATATGTTTGTTGACACTAGTGGGTGGTGGATGATATGTTTGTTGACACTAGTGGGTGGTGGATGATATGTTTGTTGACACTAGTGGGTGGTGGATGATATGTTTGTTGACACTAGTGGGTGGTGGATGATATGTTTGTTGACACTAGTGGGTGGTGGATGATATGTTTGTTGACACTAGTGGGTGGTGGATGATATGTTTGTTGACACCAGTAGGCGGCAGGCAGCGGAATAGCACTCCAGAATATTCCCGATTTACTACGTAAAGATCGATCTTGTCTCCGTGGAGGCCACGGGAAGATGGCAGCCCTCTGCTAAAATTCAGGTAAACTGGATGTGCATAATACATTGGCCCCTAGCTGCCGTATCATGCATGTGTTGAGGAAGTTGTGTCCATACAATACTGTATGCTCCACTCTGGAAAACATCCAAGAATTCAAAAAGGAATCTATCGTAGATACTCGGGAAATATGTAAATGCTTATTTCAAAATAAAATATTACCTCAGATCGTAGCCTCCCCTCAAAAAAAAATCTAATTTTCCTGTGGTAGGTAGGATATTTTCAGCCTTAAATTACACTGTCTGCATTTCGATTGTGAACTGATAAGAAAGCAGATGCGGGCGGGGGTAACTGCCTACAAGACTTTGGGAGCTTGTTTTTCTTATATTGTAGGCTGTTGTTGTTATAGCTTCAGCTACTCGAAACAAGTTCCAAGTAGCATGGGCTATGGTGAGCCCGTAACTTACCTGGCACAGGAGCGGGGCTGTGTGTATATATTGTAGGCTTTTTCCAAGCCTTATATTACGACTCCACTGTGATCTTTATTTGGTTTATGTTTATACCTCACCTCTCCCCTGGTGCTCTCTCTTCGGCCTGCTCCCTCCGGCTCTTCTGTTGAATGTTGTTGTTGTTTTTTAGATTTAGCTACTTAGAACAAAAGTTTCAAAGTAGCACGGGCTATGGTGAGCCCGTAGTGGACTTACCAGGCACAGGAGCGGGGCCGTAACTCGTCTCTCTCATTCTGTTGAATGGTCGCCTGCATTGTAATTCCTTCTGACGTACACTTCAGTTCACTGACCCCACGCCTCTCCTGCATCCTACTCTCCTACAGAAAGTTATAGATTTGTGATTCTGGCATGAATCTTTCGATATTCCTTGTTTTCCTTCACTGAAGCAGGAAGTAGAAAAATTAAATCTCCAAAGTTCATTTTTACTTATTACTTGGGTCTGAAGCCTAGTATTTATTCCTTCCACCCGTCCTATCCCAAATACTTATCCTGATTGATTGATTGATGAAGATTAAGCCACCCAAGAGGTGGCACGGGCATGAATAGCCCGTAAGTGGTGGCCCTTTTGAGCCATTACCAGTATCAAAAGATGATACTGGAGATCTGTGGAGGCGCAACTGCACCCTGCGTGACGGGAGATGTCTTCCGGAACAAATGGTGACCAAATGGACACTTATCCTGATTCCTTTCAAGTGCCTTATAGTCGTGATGGCTTGGCGCTTTCTCCTGAAAATTCCCTCCCTCCCCTCGTAACGGGTCGCACCATTAGTGTTGCATTGAATACGAATCAAGCAAACCTCGACACCTTAATGCCATTTATAAGATGATACAGTTATATAAAAAGGCAATGCTCGTGCAGTGGGCTTCGTTCTCGAGTCATAATCGTGATCCTGAGTTCGATTCCTTGGATGAACTGAATGGCTGGGCACGTTTCCTTTCACCTAATGAACCTGTTCACCTAGCAGTAAATAGGTACCCGAGAGTTTGGCAGCTGTTGTGGGGCTGCACCCGGGGAATGATCAGAATGATCTGTGTTTTTTTTATTTAGCGTTAATATAAAAATAAGATATGGTAAAATTAGGTTGATTTTCTTTTAAAGCATTAGATGGAGTACCCGGTGGTGCCCCGTCGAGGCCAGAAGGTAGAGTCATTTACGTGCCGGGAGCCCCTGAATATAATGAACATATTAGAAAACTTCATGAACTCGATCCAGAACATTTTCTCTCCGCCTACTTCGTGGTATATACGACCGATGGTATAATCCTGACCCCTAGAACAGAAACCACAATACCTCCAATAAAATTATATTACAAATCAACCATGCACAGTGAACATAAAAAAGAGGAAAGAATAATGAAAGAAATAATCCATGAAGGAGTAAAAAGCATTACTCCTAACCAAAACATAGACCTGATCATATTCTACAAAACCAAGAAGACTTCTAAACTCCTTATCAAAAACAGCCCGAAGCCGACGGAAAACCCTCTACAGCAGTCAAGCGTTGTATACATGTACACTTGCCCTCACGAAGGATGTAACCTTCAATCTAAGTACATAGGTATGACGTCAACCAAGCTGACGAGGCGTTTGACATGCCATCTTCAATCTGGTGCCCCCAGGAATCACATGAGACAAGCCCATGACATCACCCTAACAAGAGAAATGTTGAACAAAAATACCTGTATAATAGACAAAACCCAAGATGCGAGAAGATTACAAATTCTTGAAGCAATTCACATAAGAATAGAACAACCTACCATGAACACCCAAATCACGGAACTATTTACTCTACCCACCATGAGAGTAAGGACAAGACCAGAACATAACGATGTCAACACAGAAGACACTGTTCAACGTAACAGGCCAATTACACCTGACTAATCTTTGTATGTGCTTCGTCCCCCATTTATCCCCTATGTATCCCCCTTGTTTTTACTTTTATTGTACTTGTCTTATCACCTAACCCCATACGTGTATAAATCAACGAGTTTTGTAATTTCTTTTCACTTGAGAATGGACCATGGAGGTTCGAAACGTTGTGCAAATTGTATAAATAAGTGAAATACATTCTATAGTAATTCACCTTTTTCTTCACCTTGAAATAACGAAAATGAGTTTTGGAGAACTCTTTCAGCTAAGCCCTGATGCTAGGAAAATAGTTAGAGGGATAGAAGCCCTAAATCAGAAGATAGTAAATACAGAATATGCGGTCATATTCAATGAGACATGTTTAAAAGAAAACCTACTGCCAGTGTATATATATATATATATATATATATATATATATATATATATATATATATATATATATATATATATATATATATATATATATATATATATATATATATATATATATATATATATAATATAATACTGATACATCTACGGACGCTGCGCAAATTAAGGTAAAGGAGAGAAGAAAAACGTGCATTACTTATTATTTTTGTAAACATGACTTGCACGAGCTTTGGAAATAATCCCAAGACTGGAAAATTATATTCAGTATATATGGAACACAGGAAGACCCTTTATGTTATGGAGAGTACAGCGTCCGCCAGTCACTGACAGCAGTGACTGGTGGTACAGCGTCCGCCAGTCACTGACAGCAGTGACTGGTGGTACAGCGTCCGCCAGTCACTGACAGCAGCTCACCAAGTTCGACCTGTAATTATAATAAGACAAACTCCAGGAATAATCAAAAGTACAATTAAAGTCAAGGCCAAAACAAAAGTTGCTTTGTGAATCTCTAGTGAATCCCTATATATATTGCTCTAATGACTACTGTACAGTACTCAAGCATATAAATCACATCTACAAAGATGTATTATAAATAAAGTTAGGCACATGACCATCAGTTTCATTGCAAAACTAGGTAACTCGCATACCGAGAAAGGCGAACTAGCAACTCACTGAATTTGTGTGCCCCTTGAGGGACTTGAAGTAGAGGAGGGGGGTGGGGGGTAGAAATAGCCTAAGCTACTCTAACCCTTTGAGATGTATTTTTTTTATTGTCTCAATAAACATACTTGAACTTGAAGTGGACTTTAATGTTTTTTTCGCCAGCTTTATTTCCTTAATTTCCGAGCTGTTTTCTTTACGGCGTATGTTGTAATAAACTATTCCAATATTTACGGTTGTTTCTCCCTGTGAAGATTATTAAACAATGGTGATTATAAGGGCGCGGAAGTTCAGCCTGGCCAGCCGGGCCGGGCCGGGCCGGGCCCAAGGGCCGCCAGCAGCCCTTGGGCCCGCCCCGGCAGCTCCCAGTCTTTAATTTGGCACCTTTGTGGCACCTTGGTATAAGCCTAACATGTATATATACACTGGCTGCCTGTCCCCCTACACAATGATTTATTATTACCTATTATTTTATCATTTAATTTAAATATTAAAAAAAATAATTTAATTATTATAGTAAGTACTTAATAATTTAATAATAAGTAGTAAGTACATAAAAATGATTAAAAAGTACAGTTTAGTCATAGGAGATTCCTAGATTGGAATTCACTACCAAATTTC